TAAGTACCTACACCACGACTGCCACCGCTTGTGTAATGCATGCAAGTATGATACGTAGATACAGTATAAATGTGTATATTGCTATAATATTATATAGGAGGTGCAAGTAGTACCTATATATATATATATATATATATATATATATACATGTGCACAGATTTCTCCGTCTACAAAAACACTTTCCTCCGTTTCCGTACACCTTAAGGTCAATACAGGTACGGCCTTCTTTTTATTCGGTAACCATTGCAATAATGATGATGATGATGATTACGGCGCATTACACAATATATAATACGTAGACATACATACCATCTGATCATATATTGTGTTTATTTATATATTGTTTATGTATATTAGGTACATTTACCCTGCACATTAAGAATGAATAATAATACATTTTACAGTAAAATTACGACGAACCATTCTTATATCATAGAACAATTTATTTGCTTATAAATTAGACCAACAGATTTTACTTTTTTTTTAAAACAGAAATACTGACGAAATATTTAGACGGAATGGTCGTTTTTGACAATTCAACATTTATACGTTGTTCAGTTGCATGAATATCCAAAATACTATAGATTTACGTATTATATATAAATATTTTTAAGATTTCATCGACTTTATTTTTCTTTTAGCTATGGTTACTAAAATAATCTAGAAACGATCATACCACAAAGTCAAATATTTATTAAATACCTAGGTACTTTTAAAAGTAAATTTAACACTATTCTGAAAGTACGCTGAAAAATTGTTCATAATTATTAGCTACCTACTTATATTACCTAACCTGTTATAGCATTATAATAATCTTTAATTTATTCTGACGAATTTTAGATTTTTATACGATGAACACTAATTCATAGAGGTTGGATTAGTGATTATCGTACAAGAAAATAATAATGATACGGTCAATGACTCTAAAAAAGTTCAACACGAGCCAACAAATATCAAATTAAGTTTTTTATTTTATAATTTACTCTATACTTACTTAAATTAATTTATATAACAAAAATAAGTTTTTATCACATTTTAAGATACAATATTATATCAACACATAAGATATTATAATTGAGTTCAGGAGAAATGTTTAAAACATTTTATTTTAAACATCTAAATTAATCAAACGTGTTAATTTTTTAAACAGAAAAAATGTTTGGCCTATTAATATCAACTATTTTAAGTTTGAATTTATATTTTTGTAATAATTTATTATTTTATTTTTATTATTATTATTCAATGAAAATGCAGTTTAAAAACTGTACTTATATTCTTATAAATTAATTAGAAAATAATTTTGATAATTAATTTATTGATACTAATAATACTGTTTAATAAATAATACCTACTAATAAGTTCTTTCTTTTCTGGTATAAAAATGAAATAATTAGAAAAATAAGTTTATAATCCAATCTCGCACATAAAAATAAAATTTAAAAAAAAAACTAAAATCTACAATACATCGCAAAAATATAGATAATTTTACTAATTAAACTTCTTTAAGCACATATATTATACAATATGTTTACATTCATTTTTTCTGGTAGATACCTACTGATAACTATATGTGCTTACCAATCTTTTTTAATTCGATTTAATCGTGTTTCAAACATGATGTTTAAAAAACCAATTGAGAAAATACATGGTTTTATGTTCTTTGTTTTAAGTAAAAAACAAAATTTTTAATTATCATTTAGCGCAGGTTTACTGCTTCAATTACAATTACCTAACATTTAGTTTCTAATACTGCCAAGTGAGATATAAATACATACCGAAGTGTAATGTGTGTGCGGAGACGCGTGGTATTATACCTAATATAGTAAAATAGTTATATGTGAACACAAAAATGGAAAGCTAATACAATTATAAGTTTAAAAAGAAACTGACTTTAAATTGTTTTAATATCATATAAATTATAAGTATACCTAAATTAATATATTATAATATAGGTACCTACCTGCATAATATGCATTCATTTTTTTGTTTTAAAATCATATGAATATAATTGAGATTCATTATGTGAAGAATAACGATGATGACAACTAATTTTGTGTTATTTTCTTTTTAAATTAATCGTCTGTTTTGAATTCTTCAGTTCTAGTTGTATATCTCTAGATTTTATAATTTTAAAAATCATTTTTTTGATACAATTGTTCAATTGTATGAACAATTGATACATTGGAAATGGGTTTTCATGTGATTTCCGAAACGTGTGAAAGTATTAACTGTACCTATGTTATATTATTACGGTGATTGGTGACAGACGAGTTCTAAATGTTAGATAGGTACACAGCATATACGCACTTATGATTGTATCAGTAACATAGCAAAGTGGGATGTTATAAAACGTGTAGTAATATAATTCTGCCTCCAGTCTCTACGACCGTATTAATTTATTACAAGTAGGGATAAAATAAAACGACGAAAAATTTATCATATTACAATACACGCAGTCATAATTTAATAAAAATGAAATTAAAAAATATAGCAGGTTTTATCACTAAAATGTATGGTTTATTTTCCCGAGGTTATTGCTATCTTAACGGTACCGCGAAAAAAATGACTTAAGGAAAAAATACCCCAGAAATTTAGTCCCCCAAAAAATAAACTCGTATGAGATTTTGGAAAATTAAAATAAAAAATATGAACAAATGAGGACAATAGTTTAATATTTAATTATTATAATAATGTATATTTCTATCATATAATGTTGAATTTGTATATCATTGCGCATAGTAAAATTGTGTCATGGAACAATCGATTTTACCATTTAGTTGAAATAAAACGCCCATCGATTTGGAGTTTGGACATTAATAATTAATAAGTAATTACCAAAATAAAAAATGAATTATCGGCAGATCGTAAAAATATGCTTAGCAAAAATATTGAAGAGTCCAAAACAAAATGTTCAAAATCGAAAACCGTTTAAAAATACTGAAAATGTAATGCGAACGGTTAAATACTAATCACATTAAAGTCGAGAAATTATCAAAAAAAAAAATACACTTAAATTTAAAAAAATTATTATGAAATATTAATATCACGAAAAATATTTTTATTTTAAATAATATCATTGACATTTCGCCCATTTCGGTATAAATATATTATGAATAAAACATAGTCTAACATTGAAATCTCGTATAGGTATGTGTGCGTTAGGTAGCATTTACCTAATATATCATTTTTATTAAAGGGTTATTTTTTCGCGGAATTATTTTCTTAGGGACTAAATTTCCAAGGTTATTTTTTCCGGAGTAACTATATTTTCGGGGTTATTCCGGAAAATCATTACACGTCTTCCAGGGAATTCTCGCCTACACGTCTGAATTATATATTTATATACCCATTTGGCATTTGTCACACTGACACACTACGTAATGCGTAGAATCTAAAAAACATCCACGTCTACCTATACTCTATAACATACGACCTCGTCCAAACATCAACACATCCATTCCCCACAAAAATAATGTTGGTAGTATTAAAAAAATAATGTGATTTAAAACCATGCTGAAAGCTTAAAATAATAATTAAAGTAATTTATTCAATTCCACGTGTATCAAACCTTTTGAGTTAAAGTAATAAGTACCGATAAATTATCGAACGATTGGTCGCAAAATTCCACTGTAAAATTATGGGATAACTATTACAATAAATTATATGATCGATAAGATAATGATGATTTGTAAAGGAAAATTTTTTTTTTTCTTTTTTATTTTATTACTAGCCCCAGATAGAGGTGATATAATTTAACTAGTTTTGAACTCCCAATTCCCAAGCTCTTACCTAGTATAGCGGCATAGCCCTAATTATGAAAGGCAGACCTATTGCACGGGTAGATAAAGGTACCAATGGGATTATGATATACTATATTTATTGGTTATTTGCATTTAATTATTTACTATTGCTATTATAACATAGTACTATTGATATCAGAAGCGTTAAAGCAGTATATCTAAGTATTTATTTAATTATTTGGAATAAAGGATTTGACGAAGGCTGTGAAGCAGAACTATGATTTCCTAATATGTTCAAGGAGGAATATCTATTAAGCCGAATGCCGATCACAATTCACAACATAAAGTACGATCGTCAACAGAGCACTATATCGTACACTATCAAAAATGTTTAGAGGCTAGAAAAGAATTCTTCACTCTGACAAGTGGCTCACCGTTTGAAAATGTATATAATTTCTTATTTGAAAATAAATTCAACGTGTAGATAAATCATAAATCTTATGTGAATAATTTAATGCAAGCTAATAAGTAATAACTATATGATCAATATTCATAAAATAGCATTTATTGAAAACATAAATATTTATGTAATACATTTATAGAAATAGATTTCAGATGAGTTATTTGTCTGTGAAAACATTAATAGTTATGTATTTATGAACTGTAAGAAATGTTTGTTAAATTAAGTCTAATTGAAATCATCCTATATGTTAAAGTATAATAAAATTTGTTTAAAACTGTCACAAGATTTAAGACTTTGATTAACAGTACTACGCTTGAACACAGTTATTTTTTCAACTTAATTCATTGACATTATTAGAGTCATTTAATACATAAACATATTATACATAGGCCAAAAAATATAAACTCTTCATTTACATTTAAATTCAAAACTTATCAAAAGACATTTACAATATTACATTTTCAATAAGTGCATACTGATTATTCATTTGAAATAATAGTTTTTCATAATAATAGAAATAAAAATCAATATAAAAATGAACAATTTATGTAAAAAAAACCTACAAAGACAATAATTAAATTCATTGGTTAGATACGACAATTCAATAATCAATCAGACACATTTAAAATATAATAATTATATAATACAAATTCACAAATTGAATACCATGCATTCATGTGTTTATGTATAGTAAAAACGATGTATGAATAACTTTACTAATGCCACAAACATAAAATAAAAACATTTTAAACAATTAATTTTGACAAATAAATGTATAATTTATGTAAATAATTATTCAACAAAAATGTTAACTTTGTTTAATTGAATATTTGTGTACACAATACACTTAAATTCTTTATATAAATGATGTTAAGTATCCAGTACTATTGAGATCATAATGTTTACCTGAAAATATTAAAATAAATTAGAGTAATAGAGCTATACCCTACAGCTTACATCAAACTTTCTGATTAACAATTTTATTAGGTACAAAGTATACTAAAATTATTTTTTTTAAATATAAAAAATTGTACTAAGATTAATTATTTCAATTTTTAGAACTATAATAATGGAATATATAAAATTAATTTAATTTGTTTTTTTATGCATGTACTTGAAATAAATTATAAAACCTTACTCAACAACTATTGATAAGAAACCTTTTATTATAAATTTGTATAAATAAAAGTTTATTACAATTGATTAATCATTATTCATTACTAATGAAGTAATGAATATTTAACAACTATTGCTATTTGAAATGAATGATATAACATTTAAAAATCACAATTATTGATATTTTAAATAATTTGATTCACAGTTAAGTGTTTAATATGTCCAATATTTTATCATATTTAAAACAAAACAAATTATTTTCATAAACCAAATATCGATAGAATAAAAAAAAAAAATACAACAATGTATCAGTTAATTTACAAAACTTTATTTCAGATAAAAAATTTCAGGAACTGCTAATGATATTATACAACCGATTTATCTTAAAACAATATATTTTTATTATTTTATTAAAATTATTATATTGTAATGTTAAATACTATACATATATTAACTATTAACACTAATAATATTTTGTATTTACTTTGGAGTTGTAGGTATAACGGAGATTTCACCACGGCTATTATCAATATCCGCCAACATCATACTAAGCCTAAAGTTTGCATCTTGATCACTAACTGAAGTATTTGAGTCTACCATAACCAAGTCAGAGCTGAACTTAGGAAGCTCTTCAATAAATTTTTTCTTAGATTCTTCTTCTTCTTTATCTTCTCTGTATTTGCATTGTATTTCTTTCAAAATTCTACATTCTTCTTTCATTTCAGATAATTGTTTGTTAAATTGTTTTTTAACCAATTCTATTTTATGTTTATCATTTTGAATACAAGCATTCTTATTACTTAATTTCAACTCTAAGTCAGCAATACGAGCGTTTGATGCTTCTAACAATGCAGATTTATGGTCTAACATATTTTGAAGTTCTAATAAAGTAATAAGAAAAATATTTATTAATATTTATTTATTAAAGAAAAATGAGCTAGGGCCCATCACACATGTATAGTACATAGTTACAAAAATAATAACGATAAGTATATATTCTGTTGTCTTTTTTCATGCCAATGACAGTTACTTTATCAAAGCATAAAAATTATAATAACTATTAAACATAATATTATGGTACATATTTAAGATTTTTTAGGTCATATAAATTCTTATTTAAATACATTTTAGTGCTATCAAATTCTAGTGTGTCCTCATTAATAAGTAATATTTCATAAAACGTACCTTTTATATTATGTTTGTATGATTCTTGACTCAACATAGCATTGCTGGCATCATATCTAAGAGCATTTATATGAGAAACAACATCACGCTGTTGGGATTGCATTTCACCACTCATGACAAGTTCACGTTGCAAATTTATTACTGTACTTTTTAGTTCTTTACTAATGTTAGCTGTTGCTTGTACAATATTTAGTTCACTTAAAGTATTGAACAGCTCTGCTTTAGTCTCAGATAATTGCTAAGTATAAAATAATGAAGTCAATCTTCAGTAAAAAAATGCTTTTTTTGTTAATACACTTACTTTGGTAACCTCGGCAGTCTTTAAACTCTCCCCATTATAAAGCTGTTCTAATGATAGGCATTTATTTTTAGCTTCTTTAGTTTCCTCTTGATATTTTAAACACTAAATCATAATAAATGATAAGTTATTTAAGTACTATAGTAAATAATTTAATAAAAATGTTCTAACTTCAGTTTGCCAATGGAATACTCTCTCTTTAAGGTCTTTAATTTGTTTTAATGAATCTTGCCTTGATTTTTCAAACCCTGAAGTTTTATCTTCAATTTCAACCTGTAATGTTAAAACTTGATCTTTCTGTAAAAAAAAAAAAAAAAAATGGCATGTTTTCATTTAAATTAATTTTGATATTTTCTACTAATAGTTAGTATTTGATTACTTACCAAAGCAGAATTGTGTTCATCAATGGCTCGACTACTTCTTGATTTACCTAAAAGTCTACGATTTCGTTCAGCATGAACTTCTCTACGGCTACGTTCAAATTGTAATTGTAATGTTAGCAAAGCAATTTGGTCTTGCAATAATTTGACATCATTACTAGATTGTGCTGTATGACGATGATTAAGAACTATTGCTGATGTACGGACATATTTTTCAATTAAATTTAATGACTCATCTTCTTGATTATTAGTACCTTCATTAATAAAACAGTTAATAATATGTTATAAGAAAATTTATTAAAGTAATTTTAAAACTTACTATTGTGTGGATCATTATTATATGCAGGAAATATATTATAAAACAAATGTTCATAAGGTAAAATATGTTCTGTTTGAGTGGAAACAGTCTGAACTTTAGTTATATTAGTATCATTTTTTGATTTCTTTTTCTGTTAAAGAATTTTTGATTATAATTAATACTTTAAATGATTGATATTAGTTTTAATACGCTTACTGGTAGTGAAGTAACATGACCATTGCTAATATTTATACCACTTCTGTAATGATTCTCCTCAGTTTCTTCTTGTAATGGTGAATTTCCAGAAGAAATACTACTCCCGTTGGTTTTTTTAATTTCAGGACATGAATATGCTCTTCGAACACTAAGTTGTGAAAACTCGGGTCCTTTTTTAGGACTACTATCAGTACTTTGTCCTGAAATAAAAATTTTATTTTGTATTAAATATGTAAAAATATGTATAAACATATTAAAAATAAGAAGTAAATATTAATATTTTATTAATTATACCAGTAACATTTATAGTTTTCTCTGGAGTACATTGACTATAATAACGTTTTCGTGTTCGAACACTCATTACAAATTCCTTTAATGACGCAGAATCAGGCATATGTAATCCTCCCTCATGAGTTTGACATGGTGACCCATTGCTCTGTTGATCACATTCCTCTTCATCTCCAGTCTTATAAATATTAATCACTTATTATAATAACAAATATTTTATAATATTAATTTAGTATTTAGTATATTACTTGTATTATTTCAGGATTATTTGTTAGTTGAGTTTGAGCTGCAATAGGTTTTGATTCAGAACGTACATTAGGTTCATCTTTAATTGAATCTGTTATCTGGAATTAAAATAAAAAAATATTCCAAAATGTAGAAAAAGAATAGCAATAAACTTAATATAATAAATAATAATTTTTTTTTTTTTTTTTTATCACATTTCTAGATAGTTTGACCTAATTCTACCTGATTACGTTCCATTATCATTCTGTCCACTTTACGAACAAGAAACTGTGATTGGATATCTTCAGAAGGAAAAACAAAACCTTCTTTTTTCAATGGTGAATTAGGCTGAGAATTTGGAGTTGATGAACTACGTCTAGATAAATTGTCTATGCCAAATGAATTCAATGCTCTGACTACAGTAGAGTTTATAGATGGCAATCTCGATTGTTGATATATATCATCCTTTCAAAATTGATTGAAATAAGTCAAAATATATATACTTTTTAACATAAATGAAGCGATAGAAAAAAAAATTGATGAAGATATATAACCACCACATAGAATATAAGATATTTTTTTAAATAGACTATATAATTTATAACATTTATAGACAAAACCAAAACCAAAAAAATTAAAAATCAAACAACATTAGAGTCAATAATTACACTCTATAATTTTTCTACTTAAGTGATTAAACATTATTTTATTAGTTATCTCACATAAATTAAAAATATATTAATTGATATTCTCAATCCTTATACTTTATAAAAAGTCTCTAAGCTCCAAAAACTGAATGAATTTTGTTAATTAGTAAGGATAAGTAAAATATTTTTTTTTAGAATAATATAAGGTTAGACGAGGGTATTTAAATAAAATTATTTCATTGTGTTTAAAAGATTTAATTTAATAACCAATTTAATAAAAAATAAATTTAATGAATCTGGTATACAAATTCTTTAGACATCAGAGTTTATTTTGACAACTAAAAATTAATAGTCGTAACCAAAGAATGACTACTCAGTTTTGAAAATCAAAATTGATATTATCATATATAAGAATGACAATTTACAAATAATATTTTACATTTCATGAACAAATATAAATCTCCAAAACACTATACTTCTAAACTAATTAAAAATTAAAAGATTTATGAGTTTTTTGAAAATTCAAGTATTGTGCTGATACAAATAAATTAAACCTATCATGTATTTATAGTTAAAAATTATAAAATATATGAAAAATTCTGAGATTACTTAAGTTGGTAAAATTGTTGGCCAATTAAATATTTATAAAATACTCAATTTAATAGAGCACAAACAAATTCTCAACTTGTATAAATTTTCACACAAAACTGTTAGCTGATTAGTGAAAATACTTTACTATATAGAAAACAAACAATAATACTTTACAATTACAGTACTATTAATAATATAAGATATATATTATATACCCATTATAAACAATTAATAATATTATTGTAGTGTTAGTGTGTCAATATTAAATATACTCAGTATCATGGTTAAATTACTAGTCTATAACAATGAAAACAATAAATAACTGTTTTAAAAAATTGAAAAAAAAATAATAAGACCATAGTATAAGAATAAAACATTTTTTACATAAATTATATAAAAATTTAAAAATATGTACATCCTTTTTAAAATTAATAAAATATGCAAATATATGCATTTTTAATTTTTGTATTTAAACTTGTCATTGAATAAAATATATTTTTAGCTCAGTCTGCTATAAATTAAGGACATACAAGATATATATTGAACTCTACAACATCCTAGCTTTAGTTATGATAAAATTCAAAATTAACAAATATATTATTATGATTAATGACTTACGTCTTACTTAATGACCTATGCTTGACACCTATTATACAGTAGAGCAATTAACTACTTTCTTCCTTTTTAACAATGATAATTTGCAACTTTCATCAGATAATAATTACCATGGCATAGGTTAATATATAGAAGAAAATTATTAATGATTTAAAATTTAATTGAAAAAAAGTATAGACACAGAAATCAACATGAATATATTTAATTGTTATTTTAGAGATTTTATTTGTTGTGATTTATAAAAAATTATCAAGCAAATGTTATATTTCATTTAATTTTAACCTTTAAAAAAAATGTAGTTTATAATTTAGAAATTAATAAAATAAACCAACAAATTTTTTATTTAAATTAATTGTAGCTTAGAAATTTAAGTATGTAAAAGTTAAAGGTCAAAGCAAATAAAAAATTTATAAAAAAATATATAATAAAAAGATAATAAGTATTTTAGTTTTAAACAGATTACTTTGCTTTAAGTATAGCAAACAAATCAATTTTTAAATAGATTTTGATGATAATATTAAAAAAAGTTATAAAAACTAAAAATTAGTTTTAAAAGAAATTAATCATTTTATACAGTGTAAATAAATTACAAGAAACAACTTATCTTATAGTCAATGTTAATGGTTAGATTATAAATATAAATATTAATTTGTAAAAAAAAAGATTTCACAAAAATAGTGTAGTGTACATCATAAACTATGTTTGCAGTTAATGTAACAATGATTAAAATACAATTTTTATGCACATTATATATAAATACATTAATACTAACTTAATACGATTATTAACAATGACAAGTAATTTTAAATATTTACCCTGATTGGAGTTGTTTCTGGTGTAGCTTCTACAGCTGCTTCTGGAGGTGAATGTTCATTATGATTGAAAATTAATGGTTTATAAAAATTCTGAATTATAATGACAAAAGATATATACATATATATTTGTTTTCAATACTTATTAGTTATTGTATAACAATTTTACCTGTATGTTTGGAGTAGTAGGCATAGATTTAACAGTATCTTTATGAAATTCTCCACAATATAACATTGGACTCCATACTTCTTTATCCCTGATACTATTAACACTAACAATATCTCCAGTTGCCCCAATACTTGATTTTAAAACTTCTAAATATATTTTACATAAATTTAAATTAATTTATTTTATTTAAACAAAATTTTAATTTAATCAAAATTTATTACAAACAGAGATAATTATAATATACAGATTTTAATTTTATAAATATACTAAACTCACTAGGCTAGCAAATTATTTAATTATTCCTAATAACTTTTATTATGATTCATACTTCAATCAACTAAATTTTAGACTCATAATAATCTAATGTATTAAAGTAATTGATTATTTTATAATTATAGATTTTTTTTAAATTCTACAAAATAACTTAAAGTTCTATTCCTAATTCTTACTTACCAATTATTATAATTTTTTATTTTAATAGAGTAAAAAATAGTCATAAATTTAACAACAATTAAAAAATACATTGAATTACTAAAAATCATAATTTAATTTATAGATTACCAAGAGCTGATGAAAAATTCGACCCCGCATTTGTCCAAGTTGAAGGATTTTGATAATTTCTATCCCCATTTTCTAACAGAGTATATCTTGTACATTCCATAACGACATCATGTTGCTCCATTTTTTTCCACCTGTAAATTAATTACATTTAAAAAAAAAACTAAAATAAGAAATCAAATTTCAACTATTTTTTTTATGATTAATAATATGTTACAATTGACAAGTAATTAAATTAGACTGAAAAATTGCATAATGGTAATCAAGATATTTACATTATTAATGACATTTTAAAGTAAAATACATTTTGTACCTATGAACTGATGTTTCAACATCTTTACTGCTCACAATTAAACTTGGATGCATACGCATTGTTTCTACCATAGGCTAAATTTAAAAAAATAATGAATGATAGTTTATATAAAATTTAATAACTAACATAATTCATAAATGAATCTTACTTTAATTGTATGAGTGAAAACTAAATGGTTATCAGGTTTGCTATATTGTTTGTTTAAATAAATCACAAATGAACATGGATACATACTATATAATTGAACAAATAATACGTATAATGATATCTGAAGATGGAATAAATGTATTTCTGAAACTTTGTTTTTTTGTGAAGTATTCCAAGCTGCCAAACGACTAAAGTTTAAAAAAATATATTTCATTATTTACAAAAATAAATAAATAAAATAATGATACATACCTAAATCCTTCAAAAATATCAGGTAGAGATGAAGAAATTAGTGCAGGAATAACAGTCAAAAGAACATTAAGAGCAAGTAAAGCACTAGTTATAATAATTATTTCATTTTCAGACTGAAAAAAAAAATTAATTAACAATTAAAATATATTAAAAATATAATTCATACCTTTAAAAGTTTTATTAATTCTTTGAGTAAATCATGGTTTATAATTTTAATCAACCATGTTGGTTGTCTTTTTACAACGTGACCAAGTAATGTAAGTGCTTGAAGACGATTTGTACCTCGTATGCCATCAACAAGTCTAAATATATCATTCCAAGAACATTTTAAGTTAATTTTTTTTTTAAATTTATGATTAATGAAAATATTCACCGATCAAAAAGATACTTGTCATGTGGTTCCCTAACAGCCACTAATACTTCTATAGCTCGTTGTGATCCCGTTGATATAAAATAATCGTACATTCCATTTAACAACCATGGTTCTTTTACTGTTTATTAAAATTGTTAATAATCTATAATTTATACTTAAATTGTTTAAAATAAATTTAAATTGTTTACCAATATTAAATTGATCATGAAATTTGTGTTTTACAACTTCTACTTCTTGTGGAATGTTGGATTCTAATGATGTGAACAGTTCCATTACCTCCATAGCAATCATTTTTCCAACTGAACATTCTACGTTAATTATAATTTAACTGAAATACAATTACAACATAAAACTATTATAGAAGTTCAACCAACAAATTATAAATAATTATATAAAAACATACATAATAGCTGTTAACCAACTTCCAGAACAATACATCCAATTTAAAGCCACATTTAAATTTATAATTTGACTTGAAATTAATAAAAAAATAATAAAAAATACATAAATTTCAGAAAAAAATATTAGGTACTGCCATTTCATTTTAATTATTGCCATCTAATGCTATATTACATTTTTATTGTTATTAACTAATTGTTTGTTCTGAAAAACAATATATTAAATGTAACAAGTATATCAATCCATTTACACATTTTATCAATAATAATTTGCTACACATTTAAATTCAAAATAACTTGAAACTGGTTTAAGTAACTTTTATAAAAATAATAATAACACCTATGAGAATAGGTTCTTATTATTATTAAAAATACTACCAATATACAACAAGAGCCATAGAGTCTATGTTTTTAAAACATGTTGTATTAACAAATCCATTCACTATACCAAATAATAGTCATATACAGTAATGCATTCGTCAACTTAATGATTATCTAATAAATAATAATTATAGTAAAAATTATAATAACAAAAATAGTTTAGTAATTTTCTGATTGATTTGAACAACTGAAAAAGATAAAAAACAAGTATTTTTGATCTATCCTTAGTCCATCATAATAACTCACCATGTCATAAATTCGAATTGGCAGTAGACGTTATGAATATGTATAAATATGTATTCTACGAGTTGAATTAGCAGAGTAATATGATCAGTTCAACGGTGTTTTCCTGTGCACCTTGGAGTAAATTAAAATTCGCAAATAGATCGTGGGCTTAGATCGCACTCGTGAAACTGAAGATGTTGAAGATAAGAAATAACAGAAAAACAATGAAATAAGCTTTCATAGTTTCCTCTGAATAGTCGTTCATCGTTTTTTACTAGTTTAGTGCAATCAACTCCAGAACATACGTGCAAATTACAAGTCTACAAATTAAATATACCTATATATATGTATATATAACAAAAATAATATCTATAATATGTTAAATTTAATAATTAATAATATATTAAACGGTGATAAAAAACACAATGCATCCAACATCCAACCAAAGTCGATCAGATGTTTGACTTTTTCAAGGTCAGCTGTCGCCAACTGATGGTAAACACTATTTCACTATTTAGTATTTATTGAATAATCAGTAATCAGTATCAGTATTCAGTATTTACGTGGCATTGATTAGGTATGAAGAAATGATTCACAATTTATTCAAGTTTTAACCATATAGTATATAATAAAATAAAGACAATAAACTTTAGTCTTCTAATCTTAACAATAATATAATATTGTTGTTGTTTTATTACAATATATTTAACAACCACAGGCAAAAATTTAATTATTTATAATACGCTTTCGTCCTGATAATTATTATTTATTACTATTATTAGTTGTTATAGGAATTTAGATTTTATACGAGTTTTAAATTTGAACAAATTGACAACGAAAAACTTCGTTTTTATATTGTAAGAAAACAATTAACATCAAAGTAAAATGGTTTACATATCTCAAAGTAAGTCAAGTTGTGATAATTAGTTCGTCGTCGCTTATATAAGCTTGTTTATGGATATTGATCAGTAATTTAATGTAAAATTTATGTTTTGAATAATGCCTTCTAACAAGTTTATAAATTCATCTTAATATTAAAATAATACTAAAATTATATTGTGTATTTTATGTTTATAATATTATGTATGCACAATATAATGTACAGTTTAGTACCTTCAATTTAATATGTATAAAATGTTTTGTATTCATAAATTAGTAATTTATCTCATTAGATTGATGTGTTCTAGACTTTGAAATAATTTTTGTTTTCATAATAATTCTTAGTTTTTATTTAAATTAGAAATTTAATATAATATTTTATGTACAATAAATTAATTTTAAGATTTAGGTTGTATTATATAAATCAAACAATGAGACATAATGATTGAACTTGAATCGTGGTGTGAGTAGTCTTATAGTTGTATTATTATCATCTATAGTGTAACCTACCTTCAATAGAGGTACTATTAAATTGTTTAATAGTTCAATGAATGAACCTAGTGTACCTATTCCACATGGTTCATAATTGTTTTAAATATTTTTAAGAGTATAACTTTATTAAATTCAATCTTAATAATTCTTTTTCTTTTATAATTTAGGTGGCCATTTACATGAAACTGTTCCCATGAAAAAAAAAATTGTGGACACATTTTGGGGTGTTATTAACTTTGTTTCATTTTTGTAAGTATTTAAATTATTGATCATAGGTATAAAAAATTCCCTATGCCATATGTTTATATACAAATTTTTAATAGCTTAAAAATATAACCGCTTATAATTCACACATGTTAAGAACATAAATTGTCTTTTGTTCAGCTATACTCAATGCCTGCAATGTATAGATATAATATAGCAATCATAAGTTGTTTATTTTAGTTTTTATAAAAGCAAATATAATAATCACTTTTCCAGTGTTCAAAGTTTAATAAGACCAAACTCGACTAGATGGGGTAATCAATATACAGTTACTTATAGGCGCCCTGGTTCTTCCAATGGGTAAGAATAGTTTATTTAAATATGATTTTTGTTAAATCTCAATGTATTAATTTTTTGTTTAAATACTAAATTACATGCATCATTTATATTTTTACAGGACTGTGAGACCTCAACGACGTTTTGGTGGATTTGGCCCAAGTACATCTGCTCCAGCTCCTCCATCAACATGTAGTAGCTGTATGGGATAAATGTTTATAAACTTATTATATAAATATTAATTCACCTTATCTAATTACTATTAATTAATAAACAGATAGAAATTATTCTAGTCTTATAACAAAGTAAAATTTATTCTTTAACATTAAGTTTTATTAAATATTATCGCATAAAAATAATATTAATAATTAAAATAATTTATTGAAAAAATTATCTTTAATCGTAACTTTAAGATTATTTGTATTAAAATTATAAAGGACCAATAATAAAATAAAACTTAAAACTAAAATAATATATTAACCTTTTGTATGTTATTAGTTATTATTTATTTATTTAAATAAATGCATTAGTTAATCGTGAAAAATTATATTATTTTTACAAGAACTTAGAAATAAAAAATATAGATGTTTCTCCGGGGTAGAAGGGCGATCAGCTGCATTCTTGTCTTGAATAGACTATATTCCAAAAATTATGTGTAGTATACCTGAAAAAGATACATTTCTACACTATCATGTTCATACTGGTGGCTGTCGACTGCTGAAGAAGGAGAAAACACTGAAGATAGAAAGACAATACTTGAGCAATATGTTGTCATGTTAATGATTATCAGTGACAGAGGTATATTATATAGTTCCATGGACATTGTAATTAATAATTAAAATGTGGGCCACTTTAAATTGGATGATGATAGCCTTCTTCAAAAATAAATACAACCAAAGTAACCTATTAAAATTAAAAATGTATTATTTAAACTCACCAATAACATTTCACAATTATAGACATACACAGAAACAAAATCTTATTTTACAATAACATAACTAATAAGATTTTTATATAAATATTAAAAACATTAAGACTAAAACACCATACCAAAATGTTAATAAAAGATACTTAAAAAAAAACCTTATGTTTCATTTTTAAATTATAAATCCCAAATAACGTGTTGGCAATGGAGTGCAATGTGTGGAATTATAGTCTTTCATATAATAATCAGCCTAAAAAAAAAAAATGTATAAATTAATAACTTAAGATATATATTTTTAAATTTCTCAAGAGTAATGAAATTAATAACTTGCCAAGTATAGTAACATTTTTATTTTTTCTTGATCTTTCCAACCATCACCGAGATTTAATGGGTAATTTTTACTGGATGATGGAAATAGTTTTGATTGATAGTTTAAATCAACATCATATTGTAAATGTACTTGATCTAAAAAAAAGTATTAACATTCAAAAATTTGATATTTTTAATGAAATAGTAATAATTAAAAATAATCTAGCAATAAGTTCTTATAAAATTAGTAATCGGTAATAAAAACTGATTCTTGTTTGTATCAAACTTAGTGGTTGTGGAGAATCATCTCAAGGGTCAAAATATAATTTAATTAATTGCTGCATTTTTTTAAATCAAAACTTCATTTACTGAAAATATTTTATAAGCCAGTTTGTTTATTAAAAACATACTATGGTAGGCATGTACGAAAAATCTGGGTGTATTGGAATGTCTGTAATATACAATACACATGGTAATAGAAAGCTGTACAAAGTGCGATAATTAGTATACGTTGAGAACCCATGACTAATGAATAACGTAAACAATGCAGGTCGCATATTCAGAGGCTAATTTTTATGTCATTGACTTAAATTAAATGAAATTTTACATAAATATTCACATTATTCAAAAATTCTTTTGTTTTTATAAAATATTGAATGTATTTTATAATAAGAAATTTTGAAATGTATTAAATGCTAGTACATACTTTGTTGTTCACCAGATGTGGATAGCCAAACCCAAAGAGCTGATCGAGATTCATTTGAAAAAAGTTTAGGAAATCTTCTTTCTAATAATAACTCTAGAAGGTAATTTGCTCGATTTGTAGCTACATTTTGGGGACTTTAAAAATAATAAAAATTGAATTAAGATAATATATATAAATTAATAGTTGTAAGTATTACTCAAGTGCAATGATTTCATCACTAGATCGTCGAATTAATAGAACTGGCCCTGGATATTGAACTAAATTTTCAGCCACATTCAAGTTTGTGAATTCTTTTACGGTAAAATCTACTAGTTTTTCAGCAAAACTAGGCATCCGTGGAATTGCTAATGGTGCCAAATCATCAAATGTAGCATCCAATATCTAAATATAAGCTAAATAATTAAAAATATTTTTAAGCACTTGTACTATTAACATTTACCACAGCATGAACATCAGGGAACTTTTTGGCTAAATGAGTGGAAGCAAAACCACCTATACTCCAACCATATAATATAATATTTTTAGAACTAAATTTTAAATGTTTTATAGCGAATTCTATTACAGTTTCTGCAGCATTTCTTTCTTGTTCTATATATGGTACACCCTATTATTAAATAATAAACAACTATAAACAATAGACAAATAATTATTAGATATATTTATTTACAGTACTATATCCAAATCCAGGATGATTCCATCCCAAAACAGAATGATGAGTTTCAATAGCTGAGCTCATAATTCCCGCTTCATAAAACCCGGCATTTCCTTCAGTACAAATAATTAATTTTGGATTCAAAGAATTTATATTTGAATGCCTAGAACAAACGTACATAATTAACTTACTACAACCATACAGTTATATTATGAAAATATTAATTATAATTAACCTTTTATCAATGAACATTGAATCTACAAAATTTCCATCAATAGTTTTTAATTTATATCGTATACCTCCAAATGAAGTAATTAAAGCTCGTCTTCCTTTCTGTAAGTTCTCATCCACTAGAGTAATATTAAAATTATAAAAATAAATTCAAGTAGATAATACATCAATATCATTGTTACAAAATAACTTACTTAAATAGAATAAAAGTGAAGTAGAACCAGGATAAATTAATGATATTCCAAAAGTATGCAATGCTATAAACCCAATAAGACGGCTAGGACTACTTAGAAGTTTTAATGACATCTTAAAACTGTTGCTCATTAAATTTGATTTGTAACTTTTTCTAAAAATAAATAAATTATAGTTCATTAATTACATGCTAAATTGTTTATACAGTAAAATAATTAAATACATACTCTTCAGCAGGAGTCCATGAAAAGTCTACAGGCCATGCTGAAAAATCAAAATCGTAGCTGTGCAGTTTTTTTTAATAAAAAAAAAAAGTAATAGAAAATATTAACAGTTAAAATAAAATAATATTTAACAAAATATACTAGTTATACCTTATTATCAGTAGAATAATCCAATTTAGCATTAAGAATATCTTTATAAAAAGCTGTATACTTTGGATTTATAGCTCTTCCATAACTTCTTAAAATAAATGTTGTAATCAAAGTTATACCTAATATTGATCCCCGAAAAAATAGTTTGTTTAAAAATTCTGGACTTAACAGCCATTTACCATACATATATAATAGTGCAGGAGAAAGGTAAGTGGCCACTTGTGAAATAATGAAAGTCTGAAAAAGAAAAAAATTGTTATAGTTAGCCTATGTTATATGACGTTATAGCACATAATATTAAAAAATTATTATAAATTTAAAAGACACAAATGTAATGATTTTAAAAAGACAAAAAATGTTTTATACATACAGTCGTTAATATTTTGTCTGCTAATTTTTCTTGCCATAATTGAACATAGTCCTGTAATAAAAATTTGAAATTTAATATTTGTTTTAACTATTATTTAACTTTGTTACACAATTAATATCAACAATCATAATAGTTATATAATAATAAAAGCTCATTATACATTAGTAAAATTTTAGAACAATTAAAAATGAGATGGATATGTCGCAAATCGTAAAGTTGCTGTGGAACTTCCATTGTATGAAAGGGAAGTAAAAGGTAGTCAAATCAGAAATGGGAGAACAATGTTATGTATTTCCTAGAAAAATTAAGTCTATAAAACCAAAGTTTTAGGGAGATAGTTGGGAATTTATTTCTATACCAGTGGCAAAATAGAGGTATTATTTTCCATTGTTTAAACCATAAGTTGGTTAAAGAAACCTTGAGATTTGGAATGAAATCTGACTATGAAAGAATTTAATATTAAACAATCAAAATTATAAATACTGTGCCATTAATAAAATGTAAGTAAAAAAATTAAAAAATACAAATAATTCAATCAAATTCAAACTTTAATTCTTTTTTAAAAACAAAAATATTTATATTACTTATTATTTAGTAATTTATGTAATGAGCAACTGTGTAAGCTTGATAATTATTGAATACTTTATTTAAATAACAATATTTTGATACAGATCTTACAGAGATCAATCAAATATATGTTTCCACTCATAATACTTATATATTTTTTCAGATAATTATGATAAACATTAGAATACAATATTTGCAAATGATTTCAAAGGAATTCTTTAGAAGTAGCATATTATTTTTATTTTCCATTTCCAGAAAATAACCACTTTATTACCACAAAGTTGATTTCAACTTAATATAATAATATCCAAGTTAAAAAATATTGTACAAAAATGTTTAATTTAATACATTCATTACAGTGACCTACTTAATGATGAGTAGGTACATAATAGACACATCAATATTATATAGCAAACAACTTCCCAGTCTTATAATTTTGGTAAACAGATAAATGTTTTTCAAGTCTCAATATATTCAGGTACATTTTAAAATATTAAGCATTGTACAGCTTTAGAATAAAATTCATTAGACATATTTTAGCTACATAATAACATTAAGAAATTTTAACTATTGTATTACATTTAGACTCATAAATACCTATAAAAATATATTTTTATAATCATGACTTATAATTTTCTAGTAAAATATTAAAAATAAATGTATAATCTTTATAATTTATAACAGAATATATAGTAGGAAAAATGTTAAAATAATGCATAATAGTTGTTTTTATCTTATTATTTATTTATACAAGGCACATTATCTAATCTATAATAGTTTTTCTAACTTCAAAGGTCACATTATTGATTAATTATACAATAATAAGTATAATAGTATAATTAATCAATGGTTATAATATATTAGTAGAATTATTATTAGATGGAGCAGAAAAAAATACCTCAGTTAAATTAATAGGAATGTATGTGATGTACTGAAAATGGAGTAAATATAATGTGGTATTGTAAAACCTTAACTGTGATAATTTTTCCATGGTTACTAGTACTTCAGTACTACACCAAGTGTTAATTTAAAATCTTAATTGTTACATTTTTTTATTGTGTATTCATTTTAATAACAAAATGGCGGTAAGTCTAGAACACATTATTTTACTTATATTTAATTAATAATGATTAAGTTAGGTAGAATCACAGAATATTATGTAAAATAGTATAACCAGTAAAGCTAGAATAGTACTTTTTTAATGTTTTAACTAATTTGTATAGCTTAATAAAAATATATAAGAAAAAAATAAAAATTTAAATTATCAAGTGAAAAATTATATTTACTATGTTTTGATTTAAAAATAATTAATAAAATACAATAAAATATTATTTCAAATAAGGTATGTTTCTTATTAATAAATTAAATTTACCTACTTATATGGTATTATAGTTACAAATTTCAAGATAAAACCTCATGTTTGTTTATCTATTAGCTAAATAAATAAATATGTACTTATCCCAATAAATAAATTAAATAGTTAAAGCAAATGCAATACAAATTGTGTTTGATAAAATATATAGGATCAAACACATTTTAACAGAGATTGAACAAATTAATGTAAAAATATATTTAAGTTTTAATTATAAGATAATTACTAATTCATTCATCTAACAGATATTAAATTATTTTTAACAAATAACTACCCATAGATAAAATGAAAAAATAAATTATTTATAGAAATTTTCTGGTTATCAAAAAATTACTTATACTTTATAAAGAACTTAGTATAATAAAATATTCATGTAATATATCTATAGTAAATACTTTAACACTACATACTTCATACTTATATAAAAAAAAAATTAAAAATTATAAGACTATGTTGACAAGTGTTTTAACTTAGTATTTATTTTTATTAATTCTTTAAAAAACATATTAATAATATATCGCATATTTTTTACCAACATAAAAGTATAAGTCGAAAAATTATAATAATAAAGTTATCAAATTAAATTAATAATCAAATTTAATTTGTACAATAAAAAAAGACACATATTTTAATAGCTTTTCAATTAAAAGTTACATAACTATGATTTTGAAAAATAAGGGCTTTGAATGTATGGCAAATTTAAATAAGCAATATATATAAGTATATCTTAATAAGAATTCAAGTTTATGCTTACATCGTTTCTTCGAATTCCGGTATAGACTTTGTACAACTTAGGTGTAAATATATAATCGGTAAACATTGTATATTATTATGTTTTACGTACACTTTTAACTAAAAATAGCTGTTAAAAATGTTCACAACACACAAGCACATAGTGAAGGTTAACAAAAAATTATACTAAACCAGTTGGACTAGAATCGAGATTTTAAAAACCTTGTAAAACTATGAAGTAATAACCATTTTTTGAGAATACTGAAATAAGCAGTAACTAAAATGTATGGGTTAAGTGGTCAAAAACTCCTTTTGTATTAAGTAGGTATATAAAAGAATATCATTGTGATTAAATGTGATAATTAAGTGATAACCATGGTTATAGATAAAACCAAAGATAATAATATCAGAATCAGAAAAAATTCGGAAATATGCAACATACCTAATCAAAAATTTAAAAGTATTATTTTTTATAACATAAGTACTTAATATATTATATCTATTCTCTGGTACTGGTTATAGATTAAATTGTGATATGGAGATGGTCCGACCATAGAGTAATTATTACTCTATGTGTTCGACTGATAGCTATAATAACTATGGAATTACTGAATGTGCGCTATCTAGCGGTATAATATATTAAATTGATATGAGACACTGATTATTTTTAAATTAAATACTTACTAGAGCGTATAACATGGTGCCTTAGTTATATATATATGTATACGAGCATATATCATATGACTTGCACTCAAAAGTCATTACTATAATACAACAGTTGCTATATATTCGTTTTGGATTGTTGAGTTTCCACCATAATGTCACTATATAAATAGCAGAACCCTGTAGTTCCATAGCTGTTTTGGTGACTCGTTTGAAACGGTCTCTTAAAAAATACATTAAATAATTTAATGCATACCTATTTAAATCATAGGCTTGTATATTTTAAATTATGTTTAAAATATGTATAAAGATTTATAAAATCTATTCTGTAGATTTACGATCAGCAACTTTGGTCACACTGATTTTTAATTAAAACAATACTTAAAACATCGATCTTACATAATAATATGCATTTATGTTGTATTCTCTAAATTTTTCCTATAATTTTGTTTTTTATTACTATTCTATGACCAATGCTTTTAAGATAAAGTTATACAATATTTTATCTGTGATTATTACTCTAATCTTATATTCCAAGCCAATCGAACCAATTAGTCAATAATTTGACAAAATAACAAATTTATTTCATACGTTGAAACAATTGTGATTACTCACCAAATAATAGGATTTATTTTTATTTTTTATTTGTATTTATAGTATTTATACAGTTTTTAAATATATGACTTTACAATAAGTATACATGATGTATAGGGTAAAAGGAGACAGTTGACTTGATTGAAAAATCCATTCATCCAACGATGGAACTTCATGAATTGAATAAATAGTAAATTTTTCCATAGATGCATTCTATTAAAGTAAAAACCTATTACATTAAATGAATTTATTAAAGAATATATTTTATCAGTTATAAGTGTATTAAAAGAATATTGATGTAATATTGGTATTAAATTTTGATATAATATTATACTAGTAATTTTTAGGGATTTGATCTTACCGGCTAGTGCAGTATTTAATCAATAAATTATATCACAAAGCAACATTTTTGAAGCTACATTTTAAACAAAACAAGCTCATGAAATTTTACCTAAAAGTAATACTTTAAATTCTCATCTATGGTACAAATTTATTACATTATGACTTGTAAGTAATATTGTTAACAGCCACTAGTACTAGTTCATAAATCATAATATTTTTTATTAAGTTTTATTGAGTATAATATGTCGATCGTTCAGTACCTGTATACACAATACACGTAAATACAAATCACACCAATTATTTATTATTCTTTACATACTATTACTGAAGTACTATTTTCGAGAAAATAATTATTTCAGGAATACTGTAGATAAATAAATTATTCAAAAGACATGCAAATTGAATTATAACTATGGATCTCAAATAATAATTTTAAAATAAAATTGATATGATGGAAACAAAAACCAAAACTTTTTTTAAATTCTGGTGTACAATGGTTAGCTAAAACAATTAAACAAGTGAAAAAATAAGATTTGTTTTTAATGTTTTTACAATTTATTCTCAAATAATCTCATTCACTCAGCACATACTAACGAATTACAAAGTAGATAGATACTTATATAAATATTTTCTATTTCATAAATTATTATTTTTATGTAATATTTTAATAGTCAGTGTTCAATGTATTTTAACACATTTTCATACGAATTTTTGTTTTATATTTGAATTTGAATTTATTGAAGTAAACCACTTTAAAAGAAACATTTCATGCACACAGATTTAGACTGGTTACAAAGAATATGAAAGGTAAGTGATTTTTTACTATAATACTATATGCTATAACTATTATTTGTTTGTTTATTTTTTTTAAGGAACTTACATTTTGTACATTTTTGAACAGCAGCTAAATTAAAAATTTCATCAATATAAGGTATTATCATTTATGACTCATAATATTACCTTAAGTTTTTCAATGAAAAAAAAAAATTATAGACGCAATATATTTTGTTAAAATGTATTAAAATTTAAATTTTTGATAAAATTTGACAAAATCACTAATATTCTTAAATTTTATTATAGTTAAAAATGTAACTTTAAAATTACTTTAATTATTTTTATAATTTCAATTTTACGATTTCTTACACTCTCTGCAGAGCGATGTATTAGTTTTATTAACAATTAGGACTTGTTTTTGCGTGTCCATCATCTGCATTACCTTCTGAAGCAGTAATAATGAAAAAATACTTCAATTTTTATCTTTGAGTGTTTCTATCGTTTTTGATAATAGTAACTAAACTGGATGAAAAATAGTAACATAGAAATTAAGAGGTAAAAATTAAAAATTCTCAATTTTTTTCGAAAACATAGAAAAATTAAGTTGGATAGTGGGTACCTCTCAGCTCTCTGTTGTACAGTGTACGTAATGTGTTGGGTGAGTCTGGGTCACTATAGTCTATAATAGATGTGTTAAATTTAAATTTAATGATAAATCATACTATACAAAAAATGATACTAAGCAGAAACGGTATATCAACTATCAAGCTATATCAAAAAGTAATATGTTTTTGATAAGAAAATAAAGATAAATAATATATAACTATATACATCTAAATCGTCATCACTGAACTCTTTACTCTATATAGCAGTGATTTTCAACCTTTTTAACAATGTAGCACACTTCTTCTTCTACAAAATTTTTGCGGCACACCAATAATCCGTATAATACGTGAAGCATATATTTTTATATATAATACATATATATATATATATATGTATATATACAAAATTAACTCCATCAATAGATTTATCGCGGCACACTCCAAAGGCGCTCTCGGCACACCAGTGTGCCGCGACACACCGGATGAAAACCACTGCTATATAGAGTTAAATTATCGTCATCCACACCAATATGATATTTATCAACTTTTAAAGTCTGCTTTTGAAAATCCCATGTTATATTTTTCACCGATTAATTGATTTTTTATTATTTCATTATACATGTACTCACCACAGATATATAAAAATATAATTTATATTTTATATATCTGTGGTACTCACTGACTCAGGACTTCAACTTGTTAGTAAACAAGGTAACCTAACCAGTTACCTTGTTTACTAATAAACATTGTTTATAGGTTACTATTTGAGTATTTATGCTGAGTTTTTCCATGCATTTAATTTAATTTAATTCTTAAGATTAACGTAAAAACATATTTATTATATTTATTAACTACTCCTACTAGTCCTACTTTGATGTTATTTAACTTTTATTGTAAAGAAATAAAGGATTGAAGTGTTTCAAACTCTCAAACATTTGTTATCGTTTAATATACTAATTTTAATATTTATTAAACGTATATTGAAAATTTTATATCAGAAGAAATATCAATTACCTTCTTATATACCTATTTTGGTTTATTTATTTACAAGGTAAATTACATTGCATTAGATTATATTATATATTAATTATTTTCTTGCAGAAGCTATTGTTTTTAAAATTTTAATATTAATTATTTTAGAGATTAATATGCTTGTATATACTTAAAAATATGTTTATTAGGTAATATTTTATTGGCTATTAGCATTTATTATTTAATATCTATTACATATAAGTCATTTGATAATTTTTCTCCTGTAAATAGACATTTGACTTAAAATATGATATAATAAATATAGTTATTAGTTAATCAATACTGATAAAGATGACAATTAACTTAGTAAAAAGTAGGGTACCAATATTGGCCCTTGCCTGTTTTCCTTAGCTAAGAATGAAATTTTGAAATATATATTTGATAAGGTACTGCTGAAGTGGCATGTTGCATGAAATTATGTTTGTAGATGACGATCAATAAAAGTAAACGAGAGATTAGGAGAGTGAAAACAGCATTTGAATGTAAGGGGCTGAAATATAAATTTAACTGAAGTAAATGTAAATGATTTTGGTGGAAGTAATTGAGAAATGAATGTGTCAAAATATGTAATAAAGATAGATGATATGTGATTAGTGAATAGGTTCAAGCACCTTTTATCAGTGTTACTAAATAATGGTAATTTTTGAGAATTATAAATGGATAAAGTAGAGAAAAACTTAAAGTATTTTGTGTAATAAGAAGATGTCGTTTTAATTATAAAGTAGATTTTATAAAGCAGTTGTATAAATTGAAATATTGCAGTAAAAATAAAAATATTAAAGTCGATGATATAGTATTTAAGTAGGTGTATTGAATGAGATGAAGAGATAGAATAAGAAATTAATATATTAGTGTTGTGTAAGAGTGGCAAAAATTGTAGACAAAATGAGAAAGAACAAGTTATGACTTATAATTCAATTATATCTTGAAAAGAAGAGACAGTAAGAGTGGCTATAGGAATTAAATTTGAATAAAAGAGTGGAGTGGAAGACCGAAGTAGATAAAGAAAACATGTTAGATAATAACATAAAAAAGCTAGTATGAGTAATAATAGGATAGGAAATAGAATTATTTGGAGACAATGGACAAGGGTGGTCAATCTCATGAAGTTGTGAGTAAATAGTGATGATGAAGAAGAAGAAGGGTTGTAGTACCAAATGCCAAATATTGTTAATTTGAAATATTTTTTAATATTGCACATAACTAACATAGCATTTGTATATATGATTTAAAGAACAACTGCTATTTCCACATATAATTCGAGTATTTCATCACTAAATTACAGAGAAAAATATTTTATGTTAATTTATTAACTAGATCAGGGGTCGGCAACCTTTTTAACCACACGGGCCATTTTTTTTTCAATTGTTCATCAAGGGCCACATTAAAAAAAAAAATTACATATTATGATATAATACTTATAATTGTATTGCTATTATGAAACAGTAAGATTAGATTTTATTTATAAAGGAAAAATAATTATATAATATTGAAAATTATATGAAAAATGTTATTGAACAAAAGTAAAACACAAAAATTAACCACCTTTGTGCGGGCCATCAAAAATTGCTTTACGGGCCGCGGGTTGCCAACCCTTGAACTAGATAAAGAGCTATTTCAATTTATTTACTTTGATAAATAAATTGAAAATTTGTATTGATATTACAATGAGTAAATATCTAACATTTGAATTAACTATACTGGATAATGTGATCAAAGAAGTGTAATGACACTACTTAACATTTTTAAATTAAAAATAAATAATTTCTTTAAGTTACTTAGTTAATTAGTTATTAATAAATTCTGATAGGAGTAATAAATATGTTTATTTTACAATGATGTATTTTTTGTTATGTGATTACCTTATGAACAGTAAAAATGTTTCGATTTTTGACTTCTTGGGAATTTATGGTAGGGAATTGGATCTTGCTGTTACAGTGGGGAGAGAGATGAAATGTAAATATTTACTAGTATTTTTCTTAATCTGAATAAAAAAAAAAAAAAAGGATAACTATGTTTTTACACTAAATCAGTAAAATCAGTTCAGATATAATTGATTCTTTATTTTGTTATAATTTAAAACTAATTAAAGTAGATACTTGAAAAATTTACCAAATGTTTGTTTGCATTTCCTATTTGTGGTTTAATTCTATTAATATTTTGACATTTTTTAGCTATGTTAAAAACATTCATAATTTAATACAGTGTTTGAGTTATCAATTAAAAAAAAAAAAAATCGAGAGATTTAAAAAAATTATCAAATTATTTTGTAGTTAAAAATTCATATCTAAGATTTGAAAGTGTAACATGGGGGGGGGGGGTATTTACCCTGTTATTTATAATTTTTTTTTACCCATATAAAAAATTTATCAATAAAGTCAACATTCATCATCAAAGTTACATTAATTTTTTTTAAGAAAATTTGAAGTTTTAATTTTTATTATATTAGATATTTATATCTCAACAGTATAATAACTTTCCCTTCAGAAATTTTTTTTTTTTTATAATTTTTATTTTAATATGAATATTGGTACTTTTTTTATTTTAATATGAATATTGGATACTTGAAGTATTCATAAAATCTTTTCATTTCCTACATATAGGTACAGTAATTTTATATATATTATTTTTAAGTTTTTATAGACACTTAACATTTTAAAAATAGTTTTATTTTATTTTTATAAATGACTACAAAATAACTGCTAGTTTTTGCAATTTATTTTAAGCTTTGTTAGTTTAAATATTAAATTTAATCAATCTATTATCCTAGTGTTCATGTTTAGGTTTAATTTTAACAATTTTACAGTTTTTAAATGAGTAATAAGCATTTATAAATTTCACTATTTTATACTCATTAAACTCACTAAAAAATTAACTTATCATTAAAAACAATATCAGAATATTGATAATATTCTTACCACTAAGTTTCATAATAGGTCAAAATTTACTCTAATTTTTAAACTAAAAGTTGAACATTAATTGCTTACTTTAAATTTGTTATTTTATACACATGTAAGTCGATGACATAAAATTGCAGGTTTTATATCCTCTAAAACAGTAGATTTAATTGTAAGAAGTAACAAAATGTAATATGTAGGATTTATTAACTAATTATAAAAAATATGTGATATGTGTGAAAACTACAACTCCATTTAATTGTTTAATTTTGTATATCATGGTTTTGTGAAAAATTTGTTTTTGTAAATTAATTTGCTAATATTTCTAAACTTTATTGAAATTTGTATTAATGATTATGTCTTTAATTAAATTAGGTATTATGAAACAAGTCAAATTTTTAATATACTTTTTTTATGATTTTAGGTTGAGAACAGAGATATGGATACAACAAATAATTCTATGACAGATTCTGACTACTACGTGTGTCTAAATGATACATATATTAATAAATACATGAATCTAATCGCAAAACGTTCCGCAAATAAAATATATGTATTTGATTCATTTTTTTTCACCTCTTTATATGAGAATGGATATTCACGTGTTCATAATTGGACAAAAAATGTTGATATATTCAAAAAAAAAGCGTTGATGATTCCTATTTATACCAGAGAAGAAAATCGCTGGAGTTTAGTGATGATTGATATGGCAAACAAAACTATGAGATATTATGATAAATTTGGAAAATATAATCCCAGAAACATAAGATTGATAATTAAATATTTGAAATTAGAACATTTTATGAGGAAAGGAACGTTTTTTAAAAAAAATGTAATCCGAACTCCTACAAACATATGTAGTTCAAACATCGACATTTTGGATAGTGGATTGTTTATTTGTGTTATTGCAGAGCATCTATCAAGAAGTGCTCTATTGCTTTTTTCGCTTAATGACATGAAGAGATTCCATAAACAAATAGTATGTGATATAAAGTGTGACAAAATCTCAAACTTAATCCCAAGTTTCTACACTTAAATTAAACGTAATATATTCTGTAAATTTAACATTTTTTATTGATTTAGGATCATCCTTGTATATTATTTACTTTTTAGTTTTAATATTTATAACTAATAAATTTTTTTTACTTATAATTTAAGTCTTAGTTACTAAGTTTTATTTATACAATTCTAGTTTAATAATACTATACATTTTAATTTATTATTAAAAAGTAATAAGATAAGTAATTGTTTGCTTACATTATGTTTTTTAAACTTAATTAATAATTTTGTTTTAATTATTCGATTAAAGTAAATACTTAGGCTATATTTCTTAAATAAAAACTGTAAATTAGATATATTTATTTCACAATAAGTAAATCATTTAGCTTAAAATTAAGTGTATTTATTATTCTTCCAATAATTTATTACTATATATTGAAACAATTGATTACTTCACCACCTTGCTAAATTTGGTTGATATATGTAATGAATAATGATATATTTTTATCATTGCATACAACTTTTATGGAAAATATATTTTATAATCTATATGTCATGTGAAGTGAATTAAAATTAAAAATGTTTAAAACATGAGAAAGTTCAAATAATAGTGTAAATAATGTATTGATTTATAAGTATTTAGGAATAATGGAGCATAAAAAATCATTAAAATTTAAATATACATATCATTAATAAACTAATCTTAAAATAACAAAAAAATAATCCCTGGTTCATATTTTTAAAATTTAAATTTATATAAAACCTATTAATTAAATATAGTTAGTAATTTTAGTTGTTTACTTGATCTCAGAATTTATAGGCATAATTTGGGGGGACTAGACTGGCGTAATCACCTTTAGTTTAAGTCCCCCCTTATTTTTTTTTTATCCATTTTCAGTACCTAACAAAAAAAAAAGATAAGAAATTTAAAAATAATTAATTAGTTTAAGATTCTCATAATTAAATTAAATTGAATAATAAGTTTTGTAGTCGACATTTAATATACAAACACGTCTAATAATTAATATCAACGAATAGAATATAGTGAATATACAATCAATTATTACTATTATTGTAAATTTATAAAATCAATGATACGTAATATATCAAAATTTGTATAGGTACTTATTATCTTTGTCTCTCACCATACCAATTTCTACTAGTTTATTTGAAAGATATTTCTCAGCTATGAGGAAGATAAATAATTGATTATGCCCATTTATGAAAATAGGTTTTCTAATGCTTCTCTTATCTGTAAAGAAAAAAATATTCCTTCTAGTCTTAAATATGAAGATGAATTAAATTTACCGATTAATTAGAATAGTTTTAATTTAAAATATTATTTGTTATTTTTTTATAATTTTATACTTAAGTAATATTTTGTAAAATCCAATTAATTATAATTTTTGTTGATAAATGTTAAGTTTATTATTTAAATACATTGACTGCAGTAATATGCCATTCATTAATTTTTATCTGTTATCACCTTTTAAAGCAATAAAAATGCTTCAACAGTTCAACCTAGCTAGTACTTTTAGTTAGTTAAACTTTTCAAAAATAAAAATTTCTAGTAGGTACTTTAAACATCATTAGAAAAGCAAAATCAAAAAGATGAGTAATTAGTAAATCAGTTGTTAAGTGGATCACTATAATGAATGTGTTAAATATGAATTCAATGGTATCATTATATAAGAACAATCAGTGGCGGATTTAGGATTTTGTTTTGGGGAGGCCCAATATTTTTTTACATCAGTACATATTTTTATAAAAACATTTATATTAGCATAATGGTATATTAAAATATATTATTAATTATAATGTATTATATAAGTGTACACACATAAAAAAGTATTAAAATCAAAAATATTTGTATACTATAAAAAAAATATAAATAAAAGTAGTGTTTTATAAACAAAATTGTAAACGTCTCGAATGTTGTTTTGCAAACAAATCTATTACTTCTTCTGGTTTTATATCAATATTATAATGAATATTTAATAATGATAACCACCCATTCAAACGATTTTCCCCCATTGTCGTTCTCAAATATGATTTGATTCTTTTTAAGGTAGAAAAAGATCTCTCGCTTGTTGATGTCGTTACAGGTAATACGGAAAGAATAAGTAATAGTTGTCGTATGTTTGGGAAATATCCACCTTCAGTCTCTTTAAATGCTTCCATAGCCGTGCTGATTTTTGATTTTTTTCTGGTTGTTTAGCCCAATGTAACTGCCACAACATGATTTCAGCTATAAAAATGCAATAGAAATTATTTCGTTAACATAATAGGTACCTAGATATATTTATTATTTACCTTTTAATTCGTTAAGTGTTCCTGGTAAATCTGATTCATAGAAAGATGCACCTTTTAAAATATCCTCTTCAGATAGAGCATTTAAGTAATTTGGTATAAGTTGTTGTATTTTAAACACTATATTATTTTGATTGTCCAAAAACATAGTTTGAATAGACGTTATAAAATTATCCAAAACGGTGAAATAAACTGTAATTTTAAAATATTCTTCAGTACTTGAAGTAGTTAAATTTGATCGGTAAGCTTGTCTTTTACATATCCATGGAATTTTAACATCAATATTTAACACGCCTGCTTTAGACACAGCTCGATTAAAAATATCAGTAAATTTTGTATCTTCTCTGTTATTTTTAAGAGCAACCAACACAAGATTTATTATTTCAATACACTTTGTTAAATCTAAATCTGGATTTTGTAGCTGACGTGATATTGGCAAAGTTATTGACAGTATTTCGACCGCTACTTCCAAAGACAAAATAAATTCAAAATTTAATACTGATTGAAGAAGTCCATTGCATTTTGAAAGTATATTTCCATCTGTATTACCTATTATATCTTCCAAGAATATTATAATAGGAAAAAGCATATCCGAAAATCTAAGAATCGCCTCATGAGATTCAACCCATCGCGTTTCGCATAGTTTTATTAAAATAATAGATTTTGATGTCGGTAAATGTTCAGTGATTACTTTTTTAAACAAATCAACTCTTTTCGGGGAATCACGTACAAAATTGCATACTTCTTTAACGGTCGAAAATAATTTTTTTATAGGTAGTACATTGCAAGCTTTTAATAATGTTAAATTTAACCGATGTGATGCACAATGTGTATAAGACGCTTTTGGTTGTAAATTAAGAATTCTAGCTTGTACTCCTTTATATTTCCCCGGCATATTATTAGCACCTCCATCGTATCCTTGGCCACGTAAAAATTCTAAACTTAAACCTAATTCCTTCAATTTTTGAATAATTACATTAGCCAAGTTTTCACCAGTACATTCAAATACAGGTACAAAACAAATAAAATTTTCTTTAATTGTACATGTTGTTGTATCTACATATCTAACAGATAAAGTCATTTGTTCAATATGCGCCAAATCTGAAGTTTCGTCACATAAAATTGAATAAAAAACACTGTCCTTCACCTCTTTTATAAGTTTGTCTGTTATGATTGAGCCGCATATATTTATCAATTCATTTTGAACAGTTTTACTGACAAATGTCGCGTTTTTTGACGCCAATTCAAAATGTTTACGAAGATTTTCATCACCAGCGTCTATTCTAAATAATAACAATTGTTTAAATATTCCAATATTTTGATTATTAATTGCTTGAATTTCATGAACATTTGCTGCATCGTCAATAGGAATCAATTTTTTTAAATTAACATCATCACGGTGTCCTCGCAAAGGAATATTATAACGGCCACAAAAAATAATAGTTTTAACTATGGGAATCAATTTTTTTTTATTTTCTTCAACTGTTTTTTTTAATTGATCATCAAGTTGAACTTCAATGGTTTGTTGTTTACCTTCAAAACATTTAATAAATTCCAATGATCGTAAAGTTGCAGTTTTATGATATTCTCTTTCACAGTGTTTTTTTAAATCATATAATGCATCTTTGTACTTAATTAAAGGAGTTTCTTTCAAGATTCCAAGCTTTTGTCCCCCAATACCACCCACCTTTGGTCCAAAAAGTACACAAACTTTGCAAAAAGCTTCCTTACTTAAATGACTATAAGCTAACCAATTGTATTTATCTATCCATTCAATATGAAAACTTCTACTATGACCGTTTTTATCTTTTGTTACTGGAAAAATATAATTTTTATTTGGAGTCCACGTTTTACTTAAATAATTATAAAGTTCACTTATCTCTTTTCGTATTTTAACATTACATTCCTCTTCAACTGCGAATCCTATATCATACTGTTTAGTATCATTAATTTCCGACGAATTAGTGTAAACAACTCGTTCTTGTTGTGAAGCAGTTTCATTCAAAATATTTTCACTTGTAGGAGTACTATTGTCATCAACTTTTTTTTTTTAAAGAAAGAAGTAAATATTTCACTTTGACGTTTTTGTGACATTATATAACGAACTACGAAAGCAATTCAACTATTTGTTGTACAATATGTGTCGACTATCGAGCGTAGTCGCGTAGGTACTTTATTAGTCAACATTGAATATTTAAAGTAGGTACCTATCTAAGTCACGAATGGGGCTTGAGATTTGAAGAATTATGGGTGGAATTAAAAAACTACTCAATTAAGCATTTATGGAAATAATAAGAACACGAACAATTTTCCAATTTAACACATAGGTAATAGGTATAGGTAATTTTAATATTGATTAACGATAAAACTTAATAGGAACTTTTTCGAATTAGGTATATTTTTTATTTCATCTACTTATAATATCTAATTGTAGTTTAAACTTATATTTATAATGTATAATATAGGTACATTTTATATTTTTATTAGATATACCATATAACATCCATTAAAAATATTAATATGTATACCTATGGCTTTAAATTTTTATTTAAAAAAAAATTATATGAAGTTTTACAACTTATAATTCTGCCTACACCAAATATAGAAAATCGAAATAAATATTGTAGAGTCTATCTAAAACAAATTATTTAGATACAAGCATTTTTGAATCTGTATTCTTCTATGGGATTTAGCAAATGTTTTAAATATTATTTCAGTATCTACTTCAAAATGTTTTTCAATACCTACCTATTCAATATTGCTAAATCAGCCTCGAGTTATGTCTGCTTGGAAATATGTATAAAGTTTTAAAGATAGATATGATATTATCAGTGCTGTAAATTTATAGGAAAATGCTTTACTTTATGACTTAAGTTCTCTGTAAATCTAAAACATTTATACATAGTTAGAATTATAATTTATAGGTACTAATGAATTCAATTTTAAAATATTTATCTTGCAATTTTAGGACATTTTAATTTTTTAATTTTTTATTATGTAATTTGATATTTTAAATTGATTATTATTTTCTTCGTAATTTAAAATATTTTACATTAATTTTGTGAATTATTTTTATTTATTTAATTTTTGTCTTGTTATTCAAATAAATCTTGTTTTTAAATTATAATATTTTTATTTTTTTTTATGATTTAGAAAAAATACAATTGGTATAGATTATATTTATATACTATAGTTATAGTCTATAAGAATTTATGGTTATTGCCTATTGGTTATAATGTATGTTTTTATCTTGAATTATCCTTGAAAGAAGCCATGAAAGATATTTCCATATTCTAAATTTTACTTAATTTTCTGAGTTTATAATTTATTTACTAGGTTTTAATGCATTTTTCCAAATTTATAGAACATTTTTAAGATGTTTTTTAATGTATTAAAAGTTTTAATTTAAAACCATAAGTTTACGGCTTACTTATTAATTAGTGGAATAACCATATTCTGTACAAATGTTAGTATAACATTTTTATGTCTATTATGTTATGCGTGATGTTGGTTGTTTTGATTTTTTTGAATACTCCTGTAGACTGCCGTAGTTATATATTTCGTTTAGTTTTGTTGATTGGTTTGACTAGTAGCCTTGCCAAATGTTGAGTAGCATGTTAAAATAGTTTTTTTGATGTCTAAAATTGTAAATTTGTCGAGATATTTATTTTCACGGATATTTCAGTGCCCTAGTATTTAAATAATAGTTATACTTTTATTTACAGTTTTTAGTTTTTGTATTTTATTGATTATTGATATTATTGTTGTAGTTATATTATTGAGGTGGAGACTATTTTAATAATATTATTTTTCTTCTTCGACAGCCTAACGCCTAACGGTCCACGTTCAGGCCAACGCTATCATGTTAATAATATTAGTATTGCCATCATCACATTTTCATACTCTAACATATTATTTTTTTTAATCGTTTAGTGAATTACATCTAGAAGACTTGAAAATATTATGTTGGTTTTTTTAAAAAATTTAGTTAGGTAGAGATTTGTTTAAAAAAATGTGAAGCCCCAAATTTTAAACTCAACTTGCATTTACAATAATACAATGTAAAATTGGTCGATTTGGAATTTCGTACCTTATTTTGTTAGACCGATTATAATCGTTGACAGAGAAGTAAAAACACGGTGTGTACAACAGCTGCAACGTGCTGGCCTACGCCCTACGTATACCTATAGTATTATTATTGAATTGCGCATCTGCAGACGGAAGTCGTCGAGATTCATAGCAGTAGGGAGAACGCTGAATATGTTTTTTCAGTTTCTATTACGGATTTACAGAACCGGGGACTGTAGTCTGTAATACTGTACCTATACAAAAACCACGCTAAGCCTGCGCGGTAAACAAGTCAAAATAAAATTAATTATTTTACTTTTACAGTTGACGAAATTTGCTACTATACATAATAGGTACTATTTTGTATCTGTGATACAATGTACTTAAATTATCATTATTCATTACTATAGACTTTGATACCTAAATGGCATGTACTATAGGTCTAAACTACGTATCATGTAAAAAATAAATAATAAATAAACCATTATAATTATTATAAAATAAATGATAAATCCCACGTAAAATGTTATCTGGTGGTTTGACAGACCACTCCAAAGTCCGGACCACGATTAAGATATTATATTCATTATTCATGTTTCATGTATATGTGTGTCAAAAATAGTATCCAAGTTCAAAAGTAAATAGGTATAAGACGTGTACAAATAATGGATAAATATAACGTTTTATACTATAATAAATTCATTATCGTGATCCAGTCTAATAATAATGACTCAACATCATTCATCAATACTAGATAGTCGTTTTTGCGGGTAATAAAAGTAATAGGTATGTGGTATGTATAACTCGGACAAGTATAATAATAGTCGTGTAGGTATCGCTTATATTGCATATAATATTGTTGTATCTTTAATTGCACATATTTCGATGTATATATTATGATTTATGATTGTCTTTTTCGTACAATTTCCACTCGAATATTACAGTAAACAATAGTCTTGTTACTTAAAATAGAAACCGATAGTCGCAGTTGAGGGGATAATATTATTACATATTATTATTATTATTATTATTTAATAATTTTATAATAGTTAGTCATCACGACTTATAGTTTATAATTATTAATTTATAAGTTTATAACTTCATAGGGCTTATTTAGTTAAAACTTTTTCAACTAGTCTAGTGACTAATAAATAATAGTCGAATCGAGTGGCTCCGATAATAATCGTAACTCGTGGTGCTGAAGTGCGCAAATCGCATACAGAGTACAGATAATACGACTGAAAAAAAAAAAAAGTAAAAAGTAAAAAGATAATTCTTCATCTGTGGTTTTGCGTCGTTAGAACGTTTCCCCTTCCTGGAACGTCGTGACAAAGGGCGATATCGTCTTCGCGTTAATATCGAACGCGCGCGCGCGCAATCTCGCTGTGCACTAAACGGAGAGGCCGACGTGATCAGGGACCGCGCGCGGTTTATTGGCAATCGTCGACGATAGTAGTAATATACTAATATAGTACAACTATAGAACGACCACGCACGTCAGAATCGTCATACTGCTCGACACTCGTACTTCAGTAGTTCAGTTGTTCAGTGCTTCAGTCGTTATTTACTGCTCGCCAGGTGTACGCGGGTTAGCGTTGTCGAGCGCAATTCTTTCTATCCGACGATTAAATTATTATTACTATTATATTGTACTCGGTGTTGATATATATTATTATCGTACATGAATTTTTGCTTATTTCTCTTTGCTGAACACAGTCTTCCATAGTCGTATTTTTTCTATTTTCTTTCGTTTTCTGTTTTACTGCCCGACGTGTTTTGATTCCCTTACGGCATCGCATTATTTCGGACGAGGTGTCTTACTCCGAATTCACGTCGTTCTCCATCGTCAGCTTGCGAAGTATCCAGTGAAATAAAATACAGGTAATCAAAATTCGGGACCGAGTCCGCGATACTTAAAATTGTAATTTTAAACTTATAGTAAATTATAAGTATTTAATGATTAAATAGAATGGAGAAGTGGACCAATATGCTAGACACCACTGTATTCTACTCATCTAAACTTAAAAGAAGTATTAACTACTTGTTTGAAGATACATTTTAAAGTTTATGTACCTTTTGAAATATACCAAAAAGTATTTTGATTTACCTATAATATTAAATAAAAAATAAAAATTGTCGTTAAAAAAAGTAAAAAACAGAAAAATATTTTAAATAGGGTAGTATGTTTAAAGAATTACGAATTGTAGTATATACCTAGTACCTACTGCCTACTATTCAATTCTATTTTATATTATAATTTTCAAGATTTAAAAAAAAATGTGTATACTTACATATTTTATATTTATAATGTATCTATTCATGTTGATGTACAAAACAACTAAAATAGGCAAATTCAATAAAAAAAAAAAAATTAAATAGAGAATGTTATATTTTAATTTGTAAGTTACCACTATTTGAATATGAAAAGTTAATTATTTCAATGATACATCCTATTAAGAGGATGATTGGATAACATTTTTAAAAATTTATCATTTTATGTATTATGTAAATACTTGAGTTAATACATTAAAAAAATATTAATCTAGATAATAATGTAGTTTACTACTTAATATGCTTTATTTTTACTATTGCCACAATAGAATAAAATTGTTTCAGGGTCTTTTAATAAATTTAGTTTTTAGTTTTGGCTACTGTTCGTACAGTTGAATATTCATTTAAATAAGACGTCATAAAATAAGAATGCTATCTTTTAATTTAGTACCTAATAATGAAAATAACTACTGTCAGTCATACAGTTAATTAATATAAACTAAATAAATTGTTGAGTTATTTTGTTTAATACCAATTAAGCAATAAACTAAACGAAACTGTTCTGTAATATATATTTATTTTTTATTAACAATTAAGATCTAAAATTCTAAACTTCCTACATAGTTAATGTATTATAAATAACACCGAGATAGAATACCTGTCTTACTGTTTTTATATTTAATAATGTCAGTGATACTTTGTGCTATATATCCATATCATTACTATATGAATATCTATAAAGCTTAAGTAAGTAGCTTACTTACTACTATTATAAAATGAATTATCAAAAGCTATAAATTCTGGTTAATAATATTAGATAATAGATTTTGTAAATAAAAAAGGCTAGGTACATACTAACATTTAAAAATTTGGTTTTATTTTTTATTTCCTATAGTTTTGTTTATCTGTTATTTTAAGCAAATTGGTTATGAATTTTAACAAATTTATTAAGTTTATAACTTTTTATGGGTTAATACTTATAAAGTAATTTTTAAGCTTAAATATTTTTATTTAATCTAAGCATATTTTAAATTTTAACTACATTCATACTTATAATTAGGTATTTTAAAAATATCCCAAGACAAAAGTTCAAAAACTTTAAAAAAAAATGAATTTCTTTATCTACCTAGGTATTATTAGTAAAAACCAGTTATTTTAATTTATGATAAAAATATTATATTATGATATATTGTTTTATAATTTTATTAATTATTGATTTTTTTCTTTCTTTTTTTTTTTTTTTTTATATAGTTTCACAATGGATTTAGAATTTGACTCTCCTACGGTGTTAATTGAAGATGTCACTTTACCTTCATTATTGACAAGTTTTAGTACATCAACTACAAGTTCAGTAGAATTTACATCATCAGAATCAGAGTCAGAAACTACTCGAGTACCTATTAACAAACAAAAAACAAATAAATGTATTTATAAAGGTCCAATAAAATCATATTCATTAGCTGATTTGACAACAATAAAGTCTTTCAAACCCCTTATTCGAGAAGATTCAGCTATTTATTCTACAGAAACATTAACTAGTGCCATGACTACCAGAACAGAATCAGGTATTCATAATTCTAATAGTTGTCTGAATTCATTAGGTAAAACTAAGAAAAAATATGCACATGTTGAAAGTAAAGTAAAACAATACATTAAGGATATCAAAGATAATGAAGCTAAAAGTAAAGCTACTAGATATAGTTTACAACCTTCATCAAGAAAACAGCAAGTAAATAAATATGTTGATGAAATGATTAAAACTGAAGGTGAAGAAATTATTAATTTAAAGAGCAATTTGAAAAAACTGGAAATTCAATTATTGGAGAAAAATAGACTTATAGAACAACTTCAATACAATTATAAAGTAATGGAAAATAAGTATAATTCTGCAACAAATATTATTTTGAAATTGGCTAAACCTAGTAGAGATGTGTTAAAATTTACTGAAAACGAATTAATAGAGCCATTATCTCCGGGTTATAATATACCACCACCTAAAGAAGTATGGGGCCGTGGTTATAAATTAAAATCATCTAATACGTTATCAGCTATAAGAAAAGAAAACTTAAGTCTAGAGAAAGAAAATGGTCTTAAAGTTCGAAAAGTGAAATCAGGAGGTGACTTAATAAATTATTCCAATATTAATACCTACAAAACACCAAGAGATTCAAGATCTGCTATACAAAAGGTGAGTTATATTTATTAGATAGCCAATGAAGTTTTAAATTAAAACAAAGTGAGTTGTTGTTTTACTTCAACTGATACATCAGTTTCAAATGCTTTCATACAATAAATAAAATAAAAGTTTGATGTATCAATGTATGGGTTTCAAATGGTGTTTATTTAAAATATTGATAACAGGTAATTTTAGTTTTTGTATTGAGATTTCAGTCAATAAAAGAGCTATTATATGTTTGGTCTGAAAAGATGAGAGGTTAATAAATTTATAGTATGATTTTAAATTTAAATTTATGACTAACCATTGCATCTAAAAAATGATTCTGAGCAAAGTGTTGTTAAAAATATGTTTTCTTTATTCACTAAAACAAATTGAAAAGTAATCTCTGAAATTTTGAAATACCAACTACTTACTAAATCAAATCCTCGATCAAATCTTTATATGACTTGAAACTTGGATGGTAGTTTTCTTTTTTTTCTATATCAGTTATTTTTTTTATTTTTATCATTTAATAATATATGTAACCCGTAGTCTGTAAATTAGATTTTGTTTAGCTAAATATTTTTGCAATTTTAGAATATTTTTTTAACTTGTATATTAATAGACAATTATTTTAAATAATATATTTTTATTTTTTTATTTTAATCTTTGTATAAACAGTTTGATATATTTTGTTTTCTACCAAGTTTTAATAGCTATAGGCTATATTATTATTATTGGTTTTATATATTATGTAAAAGCATAAAGCTGCAATGTTTATTTTCTGGTTTAAATGTTAAAACATCCATAAAAAATTGCCAATTTATAATGCTTAGATTTAATATATATTTACTTAATGCATAATTATATTTTAGCAGATGTTTTAGTGTATATTTCAAAGTATTTAAAACAATTTACCCTTAAATCAAGTTTATTATTCAATTTTCAATTTTTTTTTTCTAAAATATGTTTTACCAAAATTACACCTCTATTGATTGACAATAATTAAGAAGTATTATTACATATTATGCTGCAATGTGAATTAAACACAGATTATACAGGAAAATGTTTTTATTTTTTTAAATACATAAAAAATAAAAGTATATTCAAAATATTTATTGGAATATATTTTAAGTCTACTATTTATAAGTAATTTAACCACTATGTCTATAATTATCTGTAATATTGAATTATCAATTAATATACTTAATTGAACTTACCTACACATTTTTAATCTCATATAAATACTTGTAACATAATACATTTGGCTATGTGTCCTTTTGGCAATGTCCCAGCGGTCTCCCTGTCTACTGACTTTTACATAAACTGTGTTTATTTTTATACATTGAAGACAGCTTTCGAAATGCCACAACTTCTAAAAAAATATTCTCAAATATGTACTATAAAAAACAACTTTAGTATTAAATGTTACATCTGTATAAACTTTACTTTATAAATAAATATATATTTACTTAAATAATTTTTAAAAATTAAAATATATTCAGTGTTTAAGCTAATGCAAATCTTAAATTTGTGTTTATAGCCTATAATTTATTGAAATTTAATATTTAAATAATATTTTAATTTTTTTAACCCTGATATACTTGGTTAAAACGTGTTGTTTATCAAAAGAAGTGTCCAATATATTATGTGTATATGTAATTTTATAGAAATGAATTTAAAGTACAAAGATTAAAAATTATTTTTATTCCGATAGCTTATATTGTATTTAAAATATCCATTGCACTCGGCCGACGCCGAGATTGTTACATAGGCTATCAATACAGAATACTGCACGCGTATCTTTTTTGTACAATAGAAATAACACGTGCTTGTCATTGTACGTGTTTTTGAGGACATCTGGTTGCGGGCTGAAAATACAGGAAACGGATGAAGTCTTTACATCCCCCTTTAGTTCGCGCATGAACAAAAATCCCATGAAAATCTAGTTATTTTTGTTCAAAACTGCCACATGCGTACGTCCTGTATACTATTATTATTTCATTTTTCAGGACAAGTAACTAGCTAGACATTAATAAATACACACGTCGTGTATAAAGGACTTCCTATGCAGTATACACATTGTATGCAATATACATTTGATATTAGATTTTTGTATTCAATCTGTCAAACTCAATTTTTTATCAACTACAGAGTTAAGATTTTGGAACTTAAAAACTTTAAATTGTCCTTGTTGTGATTTGTAAAGTACTAATCTGAATTCTGAATATTAATTAGTGTTGGCCAACAATATCGATATCATGAGTATTTTCTTAGTAATTTCGATATCGATATTTATAAATATACACGTTTATTACTTTTATCTACTAGATAATGAATTATGACACATTGTGATATATTACAAAGAAACATTGATGGAAAAACTGTTTGATGAAGAAAATTTGTTAACTGAGAAATACTTATTTCTATTATTTTCACATCTAATTTTCCACGTTTAAATTTTTATTTTGCATACTTTTAAGTTAATTCATAATAATCAGTAATTAATATACATATAATTTTAAATATTTGCAAATCGATGTCTTTTCGTTATCGCGATATACGATATCGGAAAAATAAAAACTATGTCGATATTTAAACATTTATCATTGGTCAACGCTAATAATAACACAAATGTATTTTATAGTCTAGCTAACTAAATCGTATTAAATGTGTCTACTTACTAAGGCCAATGAACAGTCCCCACCGATCATGTAACATAATATTTATAATTATTAATGTTATAAATGCAACGTGTGATATACATAAATGTTGAATATTCAACAGTCCTCATGAAAACTTTAAGCCTTTGAAATTCTTACACATTAGTTTTACATTTTTGTGCTGTTTAATAGATATACAATCAGAATTGTTGATATTTATTTCAAACTACAAATATTTTAAATTCTAAGTTGAATAATTCGTAGTTTATGCATGTTTTGCGCGTTTATGTGTCTGTAAAACAAAAATATAAATTTTAAATGTGAAGGTAGATTTTAGATCTTTAGTTAGTTATTTGGGGACTAAAGTAAAAAGACCTAAAGTTTTCAAAATAACTGGAAAAAAAATCCCACAAAAAGAATTGTTCATGAGTGAGTCACGTATAAAATAATGATTTCTTCTCTATCGATTCTTGTTGGAAATTAAAGTATTTAACAAATATTAATTGTAAAAAGTTAAAGCATTTGACTTTTACTAAAATTATAATTTTCTTTAAAAAATGACATTTTTAATATAATCATTAGTTTTAAATTTTTAAACTTGTATTTAAAATTTTCGAGTTTTTTTCTATAAATGTTGATAAAAAAGTTCGTGTAAAAAAGCTTTAACATTAAAAAAAAAAATTCCTCATAGACATTTCAAGTTTAAATTTTATCAAACTAAGATGTTTAACTAAAAATAACGATTTTACTAATTTTGTTTGATCTAATTCTAAAAATATTCGTAGGGAATTGAAATTTTTTACCTAAACGTGTATTATTATTTACTATATACACAGTTAAATTTTTAAACTAGAGGCAATGATACAAAGTTGTTTTAAAGATTTTTGAACAATTTCAGTTATATCAGATTCTATTCTTATTTTTTATTTAAGATACCGAATTTGATAGTATTTAAAAAATTATCATTCTATTAGATTTTCAATGCAATAATTGTAAAGTAAAATTATGGTTATTTCTTTTAAGAAATGTCTACACTTCGGTGCAGTAAAACATAAAAATGCTTTCATCTTTAACTTTTAAAATATTTTTTTAGTAGAAGCTTGAATTTTTCATCAAATATTTTATTTATGGAAAAAATTTTCTTGACACGATAATTTTTATTTTAAAAATATTTTGCCTGTTATTTTATTTTTTATTTTTATATGATAAAGTTTTTGTCTGAGAATAATAAAACTTAAAAATTTAATGCAAGAGATCCTTAAAATTATATTGATATGCATAATTTTATTTTTATTTACATTAAAAAATTGGATAATAAAATGTTTATAGTTACCTATTTTGTTGTAATTGAATCTTTTTGCAATACCTACGTTTAGTATAGTGTATCTTTATAATACTTAAATTAATTTTCAATTATTTTTATCACGAATCTCCTTTTCATTGTTCTATGGTATATTGACTTAAAACGTCTAAATAACTATAATCGTGGTTATTGTAATAATTATTATACATTATAGGTATGGAATTTGTTTTTAGCAAAAAATGAATGTAATCTGACAACAGGCCCGGATTGAGCCGGCGGGCTACCCGGCAAAACCTGGGGGGCCGTTAAAAATTCGAAAGATTTGGGCCAGTTTGATGATATTTTGAATCAGTGGAAATATCTTATCCATAGTTTATTTTACATCAATAGACAAAAATGTGATTTTAAAATGTAAATATGTAATCTATGATAAAAATCGTTATCTTGATATAATGACAGCTACATATATATAGTCTATACAGTGGCGGCGGGATATAGGATTATTTGAAGCAATTGCTTCATGTTTGAAAGCTCTTTGGCCACTGCTACTTATTAAGGGTGGTGGTAAAAATATTTAAAATATACAATATGCTTCAAAGCCTCCACAATTTAGTGCTTAGTAGTGCTTGTATTTACATTAAGGGTCTATTAATTAAATCTTGTTTATACTAATAAAATTTGATAGGTTAAGAAAAAAATTGTTTAGGAACTTGGGCCGGTCTAGGTGGACAGCCCGGTAAGTAATTTCTTCCCAATCTGGCGCTGTCTGACAACCTATCCTATTTATTAAAATAAAATGTCTAATGCTCAGAATCGTTTTTCGTTGTATTCAATTTTATCAAACACAAACAGAAAGCTTCATTATTCTTATCTAATATAGGCTATATTTCAAGAAAATTAAATTTGTCTTATACACTATATTTTTTGTTACTTGGTTAGGTAGTTAATGAAGAATTAATAAGAGTTATACTAAATTTCAGTGTTTTTGATCGATATGTGCCTAATAACATTGCTTATAGTCGTCGTATGACGTAAAATAAGACTAACAATACAATAATACGTAACAACGATACTTTTCCTGCATTAGCTATTTTTGGAATATTTACGTGTAATTTGGTTTGGGATTTCATTTTTCGTACGATATTTTATCAGTTGAACGTTAATTTCATTGTTATTTGTTATTACACCTTGTCACCTTGACCGTGAAGGTACACTCCATGCTCACTTAAACTTTAATCTATTTTTTTCTTTTTAAGTTTTGTATATCGCTACACCGGTTATTAAAATTGCGAATTGAATAAAATTTGAATAAAAAATGTGGTAGTAATTTTTATGGGCAATTAAGTGCACGGGATCAGCTAGTAGACTATAGTTATATATATTATATACTTTTACCAGATATCCGTTGCTCCCTAAATATCACTACCGATCCGATTATCTGATCAAAGTATTAATTATTAGCGGACTTTTCTATCTCCACTACATAGGTGCACATTGGGTGTGCTGAAATAATTTACAGTAAACAGATCTGTGGGGGGCTGCCCCTCACACCCCTTTAATACCATAGTAAACTGCATTCTAATAATTTTTAATTATTATAATTAATATTAAAATGTATTTATATTATATATATAATAATAATAATAATAATATCTAATCACTAATTAATTTTAAACAAGATTTAATTTTCTGTTAGATAATGCAAATTTTTATTATATGATTGCTGTTAATGTTCAACGTTTAGACGAAAACTGGAATAGTGCAACGTGCATTCATACAATACAATCAATACATTATTAGTCGTGAATTCATAAGCTACATAGTATTGTCTATTTGTAATGGAAAAAAAATTCCAACCCAATGAATCACAATAATTTTCAAATAATTGATAAAATACTCAAATAAATTTTACAGGAAACTGGGGGTGCTGATTTGAAGCCTGGGGGTGCTAAGCACTCCCAAGCACCCTCCTATATGCGCCTATGTTCCACTAAGATGATTAATAGAAAATGCTTTGAAATTTTTCCTAACTATCCTAATTCTCTATTAATTGCATATATTATGCATAATTTCAATAGCTTAATTTTACTAGAAAAAGTAAAACTTTTATTTATTTCGTATTTAGCCACATTCTACTTTCCTCTAATTTCTTTAAATTTTCCTTATATTCCTCCACTCTGTACATTCAATAACTGCTTTGTATTCTACGACATTTCATATTTATTTAACTATTATAAAATGTTATCACCATGTTCTTACTCATTACTCATGGAGTTAAGCACTTACCTCTTGACATTTCTTAACTCATTTCACTATCATAAATAATAATAATATGTACAAATTATTATAGGTATTAATTATATAATTTTTAAAACATTTTTTTTTTTTTTTTATGAAACTATTTGGTATTTATTTTTTTTCAAATATGTGTTTTAGGTAAAGTTATGGCAAGAATCATTGGCAAGCACTGATGTGTCTGAAATGGATACAGATCAAGATGTAGAATTTCCGTCACCACATTCGTATTCTGTTTCATCTAATGATTTATCATTGAGTTCATTAGAAATTGCACCAGTGATAAATAACAAATATCCTAATAAACACGAATGCCGTAGTGATTCATCTGGTTGTGGTATGTCTTCAACTAGAGTATCTAAAGAAAATACATTAGTTAGCGGTATTAATATATCAATTGATAACAATGAACTTTGCTCTCCCTGTGATATGGTAAAATTACACTCTTCTACACCTATAAAACATATTGAGCATGATTTATATTCAACTAAAAATAAAAACACAGCTGTATCAAACAAACAAAACGATGAATCACAAAAGCGCCGTTCATCAAAAAAATACAGAAAAACGGTAACTTAATAATCATGACTTATTCTATTATAAGTAAATAGTTTACTTTGTACTATTTTTAATTTTATTATTTGGACTGTATATATAATATTAATAAATCTATTGTTTTTTTATAATATCAAAATACTAATATTAATATAAATTTGATTATAGAAATCTAAAATTGAAGAAAGTCAATGCCCTAATGAAGTTGATGAATTTATGTGTCAATTTAAACATTGTATTGGTGTCATTAATGGTGTAGTCACAAAAATGGAAGAAAGCTTTATGTCACAAAGATAATTTCTTTTTTTTTGTTTAAAATGGGTTGTGCCTATTTTTGTACTCCAATATTATATACTAATGAATTGAGTTTAAAGGTTATCATTTATGCCTATATATTACTATTTTTATATTGAAGGGTTCTTGTATTATTATAAAAAATGTTTTGTTATGATTTTTGTTTAAATGTTTGTTTTTTACGCATTGTCATTAAAATAGAATAAAATAATTTAATATTTTATTATGTTGTTAGGTATATAATCAAAACTTATATTAGACTGTTAGGCTAGTATCTTCTCTTAATACAAATTTAATATAATGTTACATTAATAAACTGTATTCCATGAATTACTTTACAATATCTATTTATTTAAAAAAATATTGAACCATTTAAAAACTATAATTAAGTGTCTGAAATTCTAGACAACCTTCATGATAAATTATATATATTTACAAATAAAGTTTTCTCAAAGTTCATACCACATTATCATGACTTATTAATTGTAGTTCTTATCGAAATTATATGATATATTAATATAAATTATTATAATAATAATGTAACAATTATATAACTTTATATGCAAGCTTTTGCCAATTAATAAATTTAAATTTAAATTATAAGTGTATTAAAACATTTTTCTAAAAATGCAAATAATTATTATATAAATTAAGGGTACAGAAACTTTGTATTTTGTAACTTATGTCATTAAGTACCTAATACCTTTAAATAAATTCATATATGTATGTATTTATATTATATTTTAAGTTTTATGTTTTTTAACAAAATGTTAACTCTGTTAATCTAGTTATTCTTATGTTTATTATTTAATATTTTTTTAAGTGTTAAATCTTTTGTTTATTTCTTTTTATGTTAAGATTTTGTTTATTTTCTCATAACACAATTGTTTGCTAATTTATGTTTAATTATGCAATCAAAGATATTTTTAGCTAATTTAAACAATAGAAACTTTTAGTGCCATATTAGTATCTATCTATAGGTGTGTTTAATTGTTAACGATAAGACTGATTCTACATAAATAAAACACTAATTTACTATTTACAATTTCTTTTTGTGATTTGTTTTATGTTCAAGGTAAGGTATAGATTATTTTCTTTGAACATAAATTAGAAAAAAATTCCCAGCTTAAGAAAGAATTGCTGTGACTTAAACTTTTAAGTCGTATTCATGATTCATAGTTCACCGATTATCCCAATAATTATGAATTTATGAATACTGTGGCATATTTATGCCAGTTTCAAATTATATCAGAATAAGCAAGGGGTGCAATGCTATTATTATGACATGATATATTTTTTTTTAATCAAAAGAAAGGCTTGAAAAGTTTATTTTTAAGTATACCATTTTATTGTTTTAAATAAATGTATAAGTGTAAAACAATTATATCATTATTAAATTTTTTTTATTATTCTCTAGTGTCAGACTTTCTAGAATCACTAGTTAACAATTTAATTTGTGTCTTTGAGGATGAGCTCCACCTCGTATAGGTCCTAGAGTCACCAAATTTAATGGTATACCACTATAAAAGAGTAATTTATAATTATGTATACAATCAATACAGATAATAAACATATTATAATCTAAATATCTATTAAATAGTTTTAAAAATATTCTATTAAATGTGTTTGTTATAGTCCTATGGATTCAAGTAGGTATTAAATATAATATTAATTTTTTAGATGTTATAGGTCATGGTGATTTAGTATTAGTACACACCACATGGTATAAACTTTAAATCTAAAATTTTTGACCTAGTTGGCTACCACATCAATACTGAATAATTAAAACGTATACCAAATCAATAAATGTAGTTAGTCCAAACTTCTTTTAATCCATACTATCATTTTTCAATGATTGATTTCAGGTGAAAGATTTATTTTAAATTCAATATTAGAATTTCTATATTCAAAAAACTGTGGATTAAGCAAATTATTATAGATTTTTATAATTTCTTATTTCAAAGGAAATCATTTTAAGTGTATGAAAATCGAATTTTGGACCTAACTGTACTTATTTAAAGTTTTAGAAGTAATACAAAGGTAATCCGCAAAATGTTGGCTTGCTACACGCCTACACCACTTACATTTGTACTTAACTAATAAACTTAGTAGGTACCTACTCGTCTTAAATTTGATTTTTATGGATTAAAATACTTCGAATAATATTCTGCTTTTGAATACAAAATGTATGAAAAAGTGCATGCTGTCATTCAAAAGAGTAAAAAACTTAAAAAATGATAGATAACAATAACAATAATAATAAAAAAAAATTAATTTACAAAAATGTAATGTTAGGTGCGAGCGTGTGACTTAAAATTATGTAAAATATATATTTAAAAAAAAGATAGTTTTCTGAAAAAAAAAACAACAACTTACTTTTTGATACAGTATACAATAAAATCTTATATCTATTTAGTATGCGGTATTGCAGTACCCACCTGTTTCTAACATAGGTACCTATTTATAATTTCACCATTGACTATTGTATATAAGCATTGAACATTGAATGATGGTCTTTTTCGACAAACAAACAATTTAAAGGATCCTACAGATATTGTTGGTTTATCGAAGATCTAAATTTAGTTTTGAAAATATTCGTTCACACTTAACTTGTAACTTGTAAGCACAGAAGTATAAGAACGGTATTTAAATCCACTATTCACCGAAAGAAAAAGAATTTGAAATGTCTCATTCACGACTCATAAACGATTTAAGTATACATTTTCCTATTTGGCTATTGGCCCTCAATCTTGAAAAATATCCAAGTGTCCACTGCAATCACTGGGTGAAATATATCGACACTGACCATCAGTCACAAATCACAATCACACATTCTTGTAGATATGTCGTATATCAACATGACAAAATCATATTATATAATAATACTTAGGTAGTTAGGTAATAGTATAATTTTTCATAATAATGCATTATGTCTATACCTAATATATTTGATGATTGCTTACATACTTATTAGATTTAATTTAGCAATAATAATATTTACAATTTATTATAGCTAAAAATTTAAAAAATGTACAATTCATCAGTTCGTTATGCAAACGGAATTCATTTAGATACTGGCGGATTCAGCGGGTTTCTTCCCACTCGTAAGCTGTGTTTTATTTTTGAAAAAATAAAGATATTAGTTGATAATTATTATTATTTATTATTAGTTACTTAATAGTTAGCGAATTGTCATTAGTGTAATGGGAATTGAACTCTTGGATACTATATATATATATATATAATACTTGTATTTTTTTCGATATCTACCATATTTTTTTTTAAATTTGTTCAAGGTGTATACATTTATTACTTAATACTCACTTGCACCACTTTCGCCTGCCTTAATTCACTTAAATCAGAAATTACCAATTTGGTATTATTATTTATGCGATTGTTAATATGAAATAATTTTCAACTATACTTAATTATTAAACTAATATATTATGATAATTAATGATTTTATTTATTTCGGTTGTACATAATAACCACGGTAATCGGTCACATTTCTTAACTATCGGACAAATAGTCCGGAAATGAAAATCAGGTATTAAATTCACAAAAATATAAAATAAGTTCAAAACTTGTATTTTGACTTTTTATACTCCACAATTGTAATTGTATAGATATAATCGTAAATGAAATAATAATAAATTAAAATATTCTATGAGGAAATTAAAAATATATTTATTATTATCTTATTTTTATTATTTTGAATTTAAATGTTAGTAACTGAATAAGTAATTTATATTTTCAGACTTTTTGTTCGACAGCACAAAAATAAGTCCCGACTTTTATAAAATCAAACTGTTTGTCCAAGATTCAGTCACCACTGTCCAAATGATTAAGAAATATGATATTTAAATAAAAAAGTATGGGTCCCTATACTAAAAAAATGTATATCCCCAGTAGTTGGCAAACATGACAAATATTTATCAATACTCGTACATTACTCGGCTAGGCCGGCTAGAGGTCGAAGAGTTGTATTATATTTCTGCCTTGTCTCCTGTTTACAAGTATAAATATATAATATATATGCTTGTGTAATATATATATAGTATATACCATACATTTATATCGAAAGAATGCAACTAGAATTCTATCTATCTATCGCTAACAAGTTAACAATCAAGAAGTGAATGTCACTCTATCGAGCTAAAAAAAAAAAAAAAAATAATCCAAAGCCACTGGTTGGTATTTAGTGTCAAATATGCTGCCTGCATAAGAATGCAAACTGTCTTATGTTAAATGAGAAATAGCTAATATCAATGAAGAATTAGATATCAGAAAAAATTAGACTTATTTTATCGATAAACTGAATAATGAACCAAGTACTAATCATAACTAGGACTTTTAACCAATAAGAAAAAAACGAGTTCCTCTTAAAAGCTTAAATGTAAAATGACTAATGGCAGCTACTCGATTGTTAAAAATACGTAACATTTTTTAAATTTACAATTTATTTTTTCATAACTTTAAATAAGCAAATTGTCGAAATACTTAAATATATAAATACCAGAATAGTGAGAAAGGAACTATCTAATAATAGAACCTAATTTAAAGTAACTTCCTTATTAGTTAATCATTAAACTTAATGACAGTTAAGATTTTAAAATAGAATAAATAGATTATATACTTGTGGTCTAGCCGGGACTACCCCTATATAAGTACTAGAAGCACTTAATAAATTATTTCTTTTGTTTTTAGTGATGGAGACCCTAAATTATGAGTTTTAACTAAAATTAAATCAAGATACTTGACTTGAGTTAGTTTGAAAATAGAAACTCTATTATTTAATGGTAAATGGATTGCATCAAGTGTTCTGGTCAAAAAGTTGTTAACAGAAAAAAAAACAGTTTAAACTTAGTTGCAGGTTTATAGGGAGTCAAAGAAGGTTGTTGAGAGTACTGCCACCCCTACAAAAAACGGACAAATAGCTCTTTATAATTTGTATATATGGTGGCCTATCCACAGCACCTTGTGTTGTTGTTGGACTTTAGAAAAGCAAAAATTGATTTTGTTTTATCTTTTACTGATAAGAATGTTTTTATAAATTATACAGGTTATTTTATAATTTTCCTAATATTTTTTATTACCCTACATTAGACTCTAGTAAAGTTTAGAAAATGATAAGTAAAGTAATTACATTTTTAATACTTGTATCAATAACAACACTTTATTTTTATTTATTTATTTAAATTTATATTTTGCATTGCAATTAAGTTTTCACTATAAATCTATTCATAAACAAAATTACATTTTTGTTACAATATTTTATATTACATTTTTTAAAATGGTCGTAAACAATAGACATAAAAAGAACGTGTTGAATAATTTTAGAATAAATGAGGTAACGTTTTCTTTTTCTTTACCAGCTCAAAGGTCCATTAAGGACTTTTACTGTCACTAGTAAGCCCTCCATTTTTCTCTGTCTAGAGTCCAATTTAATGTTGCACTCCCATCTACCGATCTCATATACCTTTTTACTGTCTTTCTATTTTGTTCTTGGTCTTCCAAATGAATATTTCTTATTTAATTTTCTTGTTAGAAAAATACATTTTCATCAGTTCTTCACATATGTTCTAGCTACTCTAATTGTTTATGCATATTAGTATATTGATTTTTTTTTTTTTTTTTTGATATAGGTCATATAGTTCTTTATTGTAGACCAATCCTTATGTATTTATTAAGATAGCAAATTTTCTATTATCTTTTGTCGCTAACCAAGTCTCACATGCTTAGATCACTATTAGTTTAAGACAGTTTGTGATTTTTTTGATTTTCTTGATAATAATTTTAATCTCAATAACTTGTTTGTGCTAAAGTAACATTTATTTGCTATTCTTTCTATTATTACTCTAGCACATTAATATTATTATTTATATTACCATCTAAATATTTAAAGTCATTTGCCCATTCAAAATTTTTACTTCAGGTTTAACTAGTCTGCATTTCTTCTGGATAGTAACATAGACTAATTTTTTTCTTCATTGATACATTACCTAACATTTTTGTTAGCTTCTAATAGTTTAGTATGTGAGTGGGTAACTTCCTATTCTGTATTTCCTAAAAGAACTATGTCATCAGCATACATGTTTTAAAGTCCTGACATTTCATGTATTGATTTTAATTTCGTTATGTGAAAGTAATGTAATAATTGATAAAAAAAAAATTACATGTGTACTGTTTAGGGTTAAATAGTTAGTTAGCTTTGAACCTTTGAATTACAATTACCTTTATAACTATTATTTGAATTTCTTTATTAGTTGATTGAAACATAAAATAGTTATATTATTTAGGTACATTATAATAAAATTAAAATATTTAAAATAGTTTGATATTTAGAAATCCATCAGATTAAGAAAACGAATTATTGCTTAGAAACTATAACAGTTGATTCATTTTTTGTCTATCTTAATCCTTAATCATTATTGTCACTCACTACCATGACATTGTTGAGATGTAGTGTTTACTGTTTTGTACCTAATTAATAAAAGCTAAAAAAACAAAATTGATTTGTTATAGGTACTGCCTACTTTTTTATCTAATTTGTTGATGTTTATTATATTGTAATTCATCTTTTTAAGGTTGATTCAGAAGACATAAGCTTGGAGAATTTAAGTATTAATGAAGTATGTAATACTTACATTATGATGTTATAGTTTTTTAATAATCAAACTATAATTCATGAAATATATTAAAAATAATATTATTTATACAATTTTAGATACAAACAAATATTATAAAGCATTCTTGGCAATATACTGTTCAATTAAATCCAATTACGTTCTATGAAAATAATTCAGATATACAAGTAATTATCAACTAAAACGAATTATTAATCATCATATTTTTATTTTGTTATATTTTTATTATATGTATTATAGCCAAATAACGAACACCAAGTCTGGAAAGAAACTCATTACTTATCAGTATGTTGCAAACATATTTTTGTTTTTAGAACACTTAATTAATTTATTATTAATTTTTTTAAGTTATATAAAAGGGTGTTATCTATATTAAACAAACTTACTTGGACAACGTTTGATCAGCTAGTCGACGAATTTCAAAAATTGCCAATAGAAAATATAGAATGTCTTGAAAATATTGCTAATATTGTTGCTCTTAAAGTAAATAAAATAGTTAAGCTTTTACATAAGTCATTTATAAAAAGTTTATTAAATCAAATTTTATTTCAGGCTTTTGATGAACCTTCATTTGGATCATTATATGCTTGTCTATGCAGGGTTATTGACATAACTATAAATTGTCAAAATGAAAATGGTTTAACATACCAGATGACATTTAAAAAATGTGTTATTACAGTTTGTCAGAATTATTTTGAAAAACAATGTTTAGATAACACTGACCCAATAGTTATGTCTGTAGATCATGAACAAAATCAAAGAAGACTAAAAATGCAAGCAATTGGTTGTATCAGGTAGGTATTTTACTTAAATACTCTCAAAAAGGCATTTTATGTTTAAAATAATTAATTTTAATCAATAATTTTTAACATAAAAAAAAAAATATGTATCTTATTATAAAATTTAAAAATAAGATTATTATCTGGTGCCTCACTTAAAATTTTTTTAATATTATAATTTATATGTAAATTATAAGCATTTTAAAATCGTAATATGTTTGTAAAATTTAAAATCATCAGTCAAAAATATCATGTATAATATGATTGATAATATATATCAATATAAATAAAATCTTAGAGTATAAAAACCCATAAAACTAACATATAATAATTTACTATAACATAGTATTTTATAAATGCAATATTTAAATATGTTTAACTATGTAAAAATAACAATGGTTTAGAACTTAAATGTCAAAAAGCTATTTCACCAAATGCATACTTCACCGGAAATAGTTATTTAGGTTTGAATGTTTAAATACTGTAATAATAGTTTCAGAGAACAAACCTTTCAATAAATTGCATTTTATTACCCAACTATTTAAAAAAACATCTTTATTTTGACCAAGTTAAAATTAGGTAGTATAATCAATTTAATTAATGTAGTTTTACATTTATCTTTGCTACTTGTTGTACAAATTATAAGAAATTTTATTTAATGAAGAAAAAAATCTAAATTTGTTAAATTCTAAACTGTCTTATATTAAATAATACATACTACAATAAAGTTTTAGTTAAAATCAAACATTCAAACAATTTTGGGTATTTTTTCCTTTGATAGGTAGATTTTTTTTGTAAGTTTTTCTTTTGTGAATTATTTTTTTAGTAGATTTTTTCCTTCATAAACCTTATATTACTAAATATAAATTGTAAAATATCTATGATTTCTTTTGACCTTATTTAACTAAAAAAATTTTTCCATGATTTTTCTTATAACAAAATTCTTAGAAAATAAATAGATAATTTTTATTTTATACAAAATTATTAATTGTTATTTATATTTCTGTTTTTAGATTTATTGGTGAAATTTTTAAACAGTCATTATTATCTCCATATGTTGTACACTACTGTATAAAAACTTTGTTATTTAAAACTAAAGAACGGTCTCTTGAGTATCTGTGCAATCTTTTAAAAGTTGCTGGCAAAGAGTTGAATGAAAAAGTATTTTTATTTTTATTTGCTATTCACATATTTTAAATAATTGATGTAATGAATGTAATTACTCTAATTACTTTTTCTTCAAAAATTGCAGATAAGTTTGGAAGATATATTTGAACATTTATTATATTTGGTATCTGATGAAATGAGATCTAAAATATCACCTAGGATACGATTCATGGTTAAAGATGTAATTGAAGTGATAATGCCTTCAAGAGTACTTTGAATCAAACTGATTCAAGTAAACAATATTAGATTATATTTTATGTACTACATTAACTTTTTTGAAAATTTAAAAATTATATGAAATATAAATTATATATTTAATTTATTACAAAACTAATTATATATTTCATGATTTAATTTTTATGAACTATATTAGTCTTGGAGCTTACAACTTCTTACCAAGTTCACTTTTCTGAAGTTGACCATTAAGCTGTATTTTGATGTTTGGTTCTTAATAGCAATGTTTACAAAAATAACTTCAAATAATGTTTTAATTTGGATATTTTTGATTAGTGTTATAATTAATAACTATTTTAAATAATCTGTGATATATAAAAATGCCATGGTTGTTAATAAACACCGTCTGTTAACTGTTATTTTTATTTAATAATCAATAATATTATCTTTTATTTAATTTATGGCACAAAATAAATATATATCAAGGTAGAGGTACCTATTTGACGTACTTTAAGTAGTGCACATTTTTTTAAATTAATAATTTATAAATTAAAAACTTGTGAATCAACAAAAGTTTTAATTTTTATTGTTAATATATTTAAAATAATACATATTATGGCGTATTTGGTACCTTTTAATTGATGTTTTAATGTTAAATATTTAATTGTTTCTTTTTCAAAAATACAAATTATTTTTCAATCATTTTTCTAGAATTATTATTTTATTTACTATTTAAAACGTTATTCCGACATATTCCTAATAATCCTAATACATTCTGTATAATAATTGTAAATTGTAATGTTTTGGCGTTTTGCCACCCGAAAACATGGCGGTCGTTTAATCAGTTGCAGCAATTTTCTGACTTCATAGTTTGCAATTGTTATCAGTGTTATCACACAAAGCACCTTATCTAGTACTATATAGAAGTCTTCTGTAGTTCTGTGAGTATAAAATTAATAATCACAATAATGTACAATATGAATTATGATTATTGATTCAATTAGCCACCGCTACTTAGTAGGTAATAGGTATACAGTTACACTACGAGTTACAATGTGTACATACTACTATTACTACTAACTAGTGTAGTCTAAAGTGTTAAACGTTTTTGAATTAAAATACATTTTGGCTATGGCTGATAGTGGGATTAAACGAAAAGCTCTTTCTATTACTGACAAGTTGAATATTTTAAAAACTTACGATGAAAACGTTGAAAAAAAAAATCTAAGTGTAATAGCAAAAGGAATGGATTTACCTGTATCGACGTTGCGAACAATTCTGGCAAACAGAAATAAAATTGAGTGCAGTGCAGTGACTGGTAATTGTAAACGGCAGAAAATAAAACATGGCAATTATGATGAACTAGAAAAAATTTTGTTGGAGTGGTTCAACCAAACACGTAGTTTCAATTTACCTACAAATGGAAACATTATCATCAAGAAAGCACATAAAATTGCTAAACGCCTCAATATTGATAAATTCACTGGATCTAATGGCTGGGTCGATCGATTCAAGAAGAGACATGGTATTGTATATCGACAATTTTATGGTGTAGCTGATTCTGTTAATGACGCTAATAGTGCTGCATGGAGTGAGAATATTTTACCGAATCTTTTAAAAGAATACTCTCTTGATGATGTTTTCAATGCAGACGAGTTTGGATTATTTTTTAAATTGATGCCTGATAAATCTTTAGTGTTTAAACATGAACATTGTCAAGGCGGCAATTTAAGTAAAGAACGTCTATCAGTTTTAGCGTGTACAAACGCTACTGGCTCTCAAAAATTAAGACTTCTAGTAATCGGAAAATATAAATCTCCACGTTGTTTTAAAAATATACGTAAATTTCCATGTGATTATGTATCACAAAATCACGCATGGATGACAGGTGATATTTTTATTAACTGGATTAAACAATTAGACCACTCTTTTAAGAAACAGAATAGGAACATTTTACTGTTTGTTGATAACTGTCCCGCACACCCAACAAATATTCCTCTCGAAAATATAAAGCTTGTTTTTTTACCATCGAATACAATAAGTAAATTACAGCCACTAGATCAGGGAATAATCAAAGTTTTGAAACGAAAATATCGGAAAAAATTGGTTTTACGATATTTGAAGGAAATGGAAAATAAAAATTCGTCAAAAAAAATTAACATCCTTGATGCATTGCGATATGTATCTGAAGCATGGAATGAAATTACGGCTGATGTCATTAAAAATTGTTTTCGGAAAGCAAAATTTGTTGAGGTTGAGGATTGTGATGACAATGTCTTGAAGGAAATCAATCATGATTCTCAAGGTCTAGAAGCGTTTCCTGGGTATGTAGAAATTGATGATGATATTGCTACGAGTATTCCTAGAAGTATTGATCAGATAATTACTGATAACATTTCATCTGCTGATGTCAGTACTATAAAGGAAGAAAGTGAAAAGGAGGAAGAAAATGATACAACACAAATTCTCCCCGTAACAAATGCTCTTGATTATGTACACGAGCTAAGAAGGTTAATTGCATCTTTTGACAATGCCGATGAAACACTGCAGAATCTTAATAAAGTTGAAAACTTTCTTCTACTCAAAAAATAATAAAAATATAAAACAAAAAAACTTGATAATTTTTTTTAATGTAAAATAAAATATGTATTTAAATGTAAATTATAGATAATATTTAATTTTAAATAATAAGAATAAAATTTAATAAAGTGTGCATGTATTAGTATACTTGTAATAATAATATAATACAGGTAAATTGTAAATGCAATTATAATAAACAATTTATAATTTTATGTACAATTTTTAGTTATTCATTTTCTGATTTTCCCGCGTACCTAATACGATTTTTCGTTTAATACATTATTTTTACCTAGTCCCTTGGAAAACGTCTTAAACGAATTCTACTGTATTAATACAAAACTAATAATTTATACAAAAATGAAACCATTTTTTTTTATATATAGGTATGTATATTGCTATTTGCTAATACGATTTTAAATCATTATAAATAAATATTTTCCATAAAAAAAAAAAAAAAATAAATACTTAATATTTAATTAAATTAAAATTGTACCTACCAAAATTGTTGATCTATAAGGAACTTTCACACATTTAAAATTAAACCTATTGAGTTTATTATTTTTCATTAAATTCAGTGAATACACTTTAATCTTCATTCTTTGAGTATTGTCGTAAACAAAAAAATATAAAATTTTTTATTTTGGTTTTTAATTCAGTTAATTGGGGGATCAATGGTAGAATAAAATTGGTCAATCGCATGTGGCAGGCTGATAATTACACTTAGGAGTAGTAGTGTTCACACAGATCCTCCTCTGCTATCGGTTCAAACGGAAAAAAAAAAGGCTGATAATTACACATACCAATACTTAAATATATTTAAACTAAACTACTTCTATGATTTGCGATATGTAATATGAATATACAATAATGCACTATAGATTAATTACCAATTAATTTTGATATCAATATTGTTTCTCTCTATTATTAAAACAATTTAATTAATTAGTTAGATTTTAAGTATAAATTATACTGGCACTTACTTCTATTCTCCAATCTCCTTCAGTTTTTAAATAAAAGCGCGAAAACATCATATAACTTTTATCAATAGAAGTAAATAATAATATGATTGAAATAATTCATCAATAAATTAATCTATTTTTATATTATAATGTCTATGATATGTATTTTATTTATATCAGTGGTGCCCAACCCGCGGCCCGCGGGCCACATGTGGCCCGCGAAAGTATTCTGTGTGGCCCGTCACAAATTTTTAAATAAAACAAAATATTCTAAAAAAAGTAAAATTATATTTATTTATTTTATAAAAGTAATAATAATAATAATAAAATCAAAATAAATGTTTAAACGTTTTAAACAAAATATTCAAAAAAAAAGTAAAATTATATTTATAAATTTATTTTGTAATTGTAAAAATAAAAAAATTCGGCAATCGTCATTATATTTACGCTTTTTTCTGTCGGACATTTTTAAATAAAAATTTTACGATCGCTATTACCTATGCACTTAAAAGAGCAGACTGATCGTCGTATGTATCTACAATGTATACCTCAATCCATAATCTTTTCAATCAATAAAAGATAAGATATACACCATATATTTTGTACACATATGTATCACAAAATTATATTATTAGATTAAGATTGGGATTATTCGTACTTTTATATTTAGTGGCCCGCTCGAAGATAATTATTAACCAAAGTGGCACGCCGAACAAAAAAGGTTGGGCATCACTGATTTATATGGTAATTTCAAAATTAAAAGTTGGCGGTACTTTTTTGAAATTGGATTCTTATCATTTGTCGGATCCTTATCATTTTTTGAAATGTGCTTCACTATAATAATATGTAGGTACATCTTCATCACACAATAGTACGATACACGCTTTAACCTACGCTTCAGCAACAGCAGTGTGCAGACTGTTGCCTATATATTAACGAGTGTCTAATAAGTAGTGTGCTAAAATGCTGTTGTATAAAAAGAAATTAATATTTTTCTTGATGAATTTTATTGCCATTACGTAAATTGTAATTGTTTTATATAATTATTTAAAGTGTTTTGATTGATAATTTCATTTCCGGAGGAATACCTTACATTATCGTTTAATAATCTAAAAGGTAAATGTTATTATTTTATATTATATTTTAGTAATTACCTAGCAAAAAAAAAATTTTCATTTTGGTGATTATTTAAGGTTTCCGTACAGTGGCACCGATGTCACTATGTCAGTTTCAAATGGTATTGTATAAACACTATTGATATAAAATCTGTGATAGGAGGTAGGTATAAGTGAACAGTAAATTTGTTGCTCTAAAAATGGAACTAATTTCATGCTTTTATATCGATTTAAATAATAATTTGTATACTTATGTCTTATGGATTACCATAATTTGCCACGGTACCACCCACTTAAATTAGGTATTGCATCTATAATACTATATATAGCGATCGGCACCACTGCTTACATGGACTTATAACTATGATAGTTTTGTATTATTGGATTTTAGTATTTACTATTTGGGCACTTATGTGATTATTTTTCTTATATGAACGGACAATTGACATATTATAATGATAATTATAATTAGTTATGCTGATAAATCAATGTTTTAAACAATTATTATTATTCAATGTGGTTTTCCTTTATTAATATGACAATGATATTGTATTTAAAAGGCGTAGTTTTGAGTGCCAAATGCTCTTTATTATCCATTATTTGTTTCAAATATTGTACACTACGAACATAAGAATTTAACATTTGTATGTTTGATTTTTGGACAACTGTTAGTTGTAAATTTTATTTAAGTATTTTTTTTAATTTGTTTCAAAGGAAAAAAATATATACCTCATTTAGGCTAGTTAAAAACTGAAAATTTAGTTAAAAATTAATTTACTATATGCTAGAATAACATTTGTATTTTTACATATTTTATTGTATACTATATATTTACAGAAATAAGAAACTGTCACTCATGCCTTCTCAATTTATTCAAATTCGGTCCATGGATTGTGAAACTAGACTATTGTGTCATAATAACTTATAATTGTTGTCTATTCATATAATTTTGATACACAAACTAGTATTTTAAATCCAAGTTTTATCAATCCAAAAATGATATACCTAAGTAATAGGGTTTCTCATAAAAAGTTAAAAATAATTGTATGTTAAAATAGTTGATAGTTTAGTAGTTGGTTTCATGTTCTTTTATGCTATAGACCAAATTCAAAAATACGGGCAATCTACTGGGTTTTGGATGTTCTCTTTTTCCATGTATTCACAAAATATAAATACCTATACAAAATTACTTAATACTATTTAGGTAGGTAAATTATTTAAGAAAAAAATATCATATTGTTTTCAATAAACGAATGAATGCAGAAAATAACACGATAACTAACTAATAACTATTTTTCAACAGTAGTCTTCATAATATATTTTCTTAAATAAATATATTATTTTTACCTAACATCAATAACTATTAAAAATGTTAAATTTTCCCTAATTTTTATTGAAAAAAATATGTTTTTTTCAGGAATGTTGTCTACCTTAATTTGTACATTTTTAGGCTGTATTAAAACTTCTGTTATAAAAATAATTTTGTTTTAATATTGTCTTAAGCTTAAAAATGAAACAATCTTTATTTTATATTAACTATTTTTATAATTTTAGGTATAAAACAGAGATATGGATCTCGATGATGAACAGTATGATTTTACAGTTGACAACAGTCATCTTTATTTAAATGATGAAGTTATAAACAAATATATGGATCTAATCACAGAACGTTCTCCAGACACAGTGTATGCATTTAATACATTTTTTTACTTGGCTCTGTCTGACAAGGGATATTCTCACGTTTGTCGGTGGACAAAAAAAATTGATATATTCTCAAAAAAAAAATTATTCATTCCTGTTCATATTGAAGATGAAAATCATTGGTGTTTAATTTATGTTGATTTTGTACATAAATTTATTAAATACTATGATAGCCTTAGAGGACGAAATTTTAAATGCCTCAAATTAATATTGAAATATTTAATGATGGAACATGTTGATAAAAAAGGAAAAGATTTTCATCCTAGTGGTTGGTTATTAATGAATGTGAAGAACTGTCCACAACAACTCAATCATTGGGATTGTGGAGTATTTGTTTGTATGTTTGCAGAATATTTATCAAGAGATGCTCCATTGAATTTTTCACAAAAACATATGAACAGATTTAGGAGACAAATAGAATTTGAAATCAAGAAGAAAAAATTAAGAAAATCCGTATCAGAAACATAAGCCATTGAAACAATTAAATGACATGTATTTCTATACATTTGTTGGAGTTATTGGTGATGAAATTTCACATTATGCATAATTTGTATTTAATGTTAATAACTAGCATGTTATAAGTAATTATAATTTGACATATTACTTACTTTAATTAAATATTGATGTATTTATGATATAAATGTATACTATTTTGTTATTAAGTTTTATTTTTAATCTAATACAAATCCTATACAAATGCAAACAATTTTTTATGACTAAAATTAGTTGTAATTTATAGTTTAAATTTAAAAAAAATAATTATTAGATTCATATACTTGGTAACTTACATTATATTTTTAAAATAATCACGATTTCAATTTATTTAAGTTGTGTTTTTAAATAACAACTTTTATATTAAATGTATTGATTCCTCAATAAGTTAAATCACTAGTTAATTGTTTAGTTGAATGTATTTGTTGATTATCCAAACAATTTATTATTATTTGTTGTAATAGTTAACTCAATCAATTTGATTAAATATTTTCCGTGATAAATAATGATTTTTAAGCAATTTCTTAGAAAATTTGAAGTATGTTATATAAACTATATGGTGTGAATATATTTTTAGAACATGAAAAAGTGCAGATAATGCTGTATAGATACTTGATGTTTAGATAAATGTACAAATACCTGAAAACTATGCTTAATCAATAAAGTATAGAATTTACAACTACTGTTTGTAAATATCAGAAATTTGGAGTTTTACTAATTAATCTCATTTAGCATCAACAATTGATAAAAGAAAATTAAAAAATAACTTAGTTATTTTTTTTTTTTTATAGTTGAATGTGTCTTAATCATCAATAATATTACATTTATATGTGCTAACATATAAGTATAATTTGAACATCATCAATATTATAATTTATAAATCATTTTATATTTGTTTTTAATAGGTAGATATGTTTTTATTTTTTATAAAATAAGTTAAAATTAAATATGTTGAACAAATTTTAAATGCTAAATTAAATTTAGCTATACTCAATTTGTAAATTTTCCGTTTAAGAGTATTTTTTAATTTAAATATGATAATTTTTTAATTCTAAGATAAACCATTTCACACTTGTAAAATTCAGAACTGGGTTTCTATAATCATACAGGGTTTGACTATACTAATTTGTATATCTAAGAATTTAGTATGATTTATCAGTAATAGTAAAGTAATTTTAATTTTAATTTAATCACAAGAAAATATTACATTTTATAAAAATAAATTTATATATTGAATTGTTTTTTAATCAGAATACATTTATGAAAGAATTGCAGAGTACAACTTTAGTGCCTTCTACAAAAAATTAAATGTAATCTATGTTTGAAAATAAGTAATGTTCCAACATTCCAAGTCATCCAAAATTTAGGGTAACTTAGAACAACTACAGGTCCTGATTTAACAATTCACGGGCCTCGTACAATTTAAAATGTTAGGCCCCTAAATCAGTAATTCTTAAATTGGTAAGCATATTAGTAGTGGTACCCAAAAGACTACATAGTGGTATGCAAAAGGCCACATGGTAGTAAAACCGAAAATTAAAAATAAATATTTTACTTGTGTTTGAATTAGTTAATATAATATTATTTATAAAATAATTACGATTATTTACCAGATACCTATTTCATCTCTAATATCAAACCTACAAATCAAATGGTTCTCATTGAAAAATTGTTATTTTTATTCATATTTTATTTTAAAAAACTAATAAATATATACCTAACAATTATATTGTACTTTTTGTTTCCTCATTATTTAAAATCAAAATCAGTCAACTTATATCGGCTTTATCACTAAGTATATATTTTCAAGTTATATCTTTTAAATTTTAAAAATCAATTATTCCAAAAAAAAAACTATATTTAATTACAAAAGCTCCTCTCTATGTTACGAACCAAACGTTAAACACCGACTTAAAAGTAGGTACCAACTGTCTTAAAAACTGCTTCTAAGTCCTATAAACATTAACACAACTCTGAACTTAGGTACTTCTTGAACATCCAAACATTTTAGCAAAAAATCTTTCCAATCAAACCATAGAAAATTCTCCAAAAAGATTGAAAAGGAAATGGGTTCGGGTTGTGACCTACCACTTGACTAACTTCAAGTATATTTATAAATCGCTAGTGAACAACTTCTCCACCCACGTACCTGCCAGCTATCCATTATATAAACATATAATCTCACTCATGTAGTCATGCACTCAAATTGTATAGATAGTAAGAAAAAAATAAAATAAAAATAATAATATTATGATTTTTGATATTGCTATTGTTATAATAAAGTAAAGTAATTTCTTTTACTAATAATAATAGTGTACCTAATACCTTAGATTAAAGTAATCCTTGACAAAAACATTACATCTGAAATTTTTTTAATATTGTGTGTTTAAAATATAATAATAATATACCTACATGAAAGTTTTATATTCTTATGAATAATTAATTTGAACTAAAAAAATAATATGTAATTTTGTCCAAATTCGAATTAAAATCTTTATAAACAAATTATGCTTGTATGTTTTTTAAATTTTTGGTTTTAATGTAAAGTACTAATGAGGAACTTAGTTTTTAATTTTTTAGCCTTAAGCATAAAACTTGTATATTTTATAAATTTTAAACTGTAAACATTCATAAATTTGTTAAAATTTGAACTTAAAATGCATATAAAAATAAATTTTAAATATTCTTACATTTTTTTATGAACAATTTATGCAAGATTTTGTATTTAAGTTTTAAACTTTTGACCGAACAAAATCTTTTTTATAGACATTTATAAAAATATATCTAATAATAATTCAAATTTTAAATCACTAAAAATAACTCAAAAAGAGCTAAAACATTTTTAAAATTTTATCATGTATAGGAAATGATCATATAAATAGATATTTTAATACCTATTACCTTACTATAATACCTACAAACTTACGGTTATTATTTTTTTAATTTTATCAAAATATCGAAACCGTTTGGGGGATAAATACTTATTTTATTGGTTACATTGCACAATGTTGTAAGAATTTGAACTTCAATTAATAAAAAAAAAAATATTTGACTTTTGGATAGCTTTTTTTTACTATACCTTAGTTGAAAAACCGGAACAATTTTGTATTCAAGTTTTAAACATTTATTATAAGAAAAGATAAACAAAAGTCAAAAAGTTTATTTTGTACGTTTTTGAGGTTTTATGGATTTCATCAAAATTCTAAATTTAGTTGCTTATAAAAATGATTGTGACCTTATAGTTTATACTTCAAATAATTTTAAATTAGCATTTCATCAACTCATGAATCATGAGAAACCTCTAGTACTATATTTCAAACATCTTTAACCAAGGAGTAATTTTTTATCAATATTTATTGATAAAAATAAAATACAAAATTTAAAATATTTATTATGAATAATAATGATCTTATAAACATTAGGTGACATTTTATGTCCCTTTCTATGGTTATTTCTTATTCGTTTTCGAGTTTCTCAAAAAAAAAAAAAGAAAAATCAGTTTTACCAAAAACTGAATTTACGCAAAATGTTCGGCTTATCCCGGTTATTTTGAAAAATATTGGCAATTTCTTTTATACTCTTCTAAAATTCAAATTAAATTCGAGTCGTTGCTATTTAAAACTATTTATAACAAGGCTACCCAATTTATTTTGGAAGCGGGCAATGCGGGCTTTATTTTTAATTACTGTCGGGCCATCTTGTGAATAAGACTTATTTACACTTATAATTTTTCTTTCATTTTATACATAGTAGTTAAATAGATAGGTAGTTATTTAAATCAACCAAGATTTTAAATTGCACATGTTTTAATAATATCAAAAAAAAAAAAATAATAAACACCAGTGAGACCCATGAATACAAGGTTTACAGATAATATTGTAATAACGAGAAAAATAAGGCAAAATAGGTTAAAAATAATTAAGTTAAAAGTATAACAAAAAGGGGAGGAGATGTGGCCGGACTGACTTAAGGGACACAAGCCTTGTATATAAGTCCGGTATTAATAATTATTGAATATACTTGTTCTCGTGTTATTACCTTCCTCCTGTTCTTCGGAGGGCTCTCGAGATCGTGATTCGAGAATATGATCAAATCACCGTTACGCAAATTAGATGGGTAGTAAAACAACCTGTACTATCAATAAGTATTTTAGACACGCACCTTACCTGATTCATCGCAGTGAATACTTATAGTAGGTACGTTCCTCGGAGAAAGATGTGAGGTGACACAAATAATTACGATACGACTTAAGAAAAACTTAAGTTTAAATAAGAAAAAATAACTCTGATTTAACTTTTAAAAAAAGAAGTTCAACTGTCACTGCAGAATCTTGTGGGTTTGGTGTGTGGTGGTTTTTGGATAGAGCTCCTGCTCGCTCGTCTGGTGCGCCTGCACTCGTAACTTATCAGTGATCATGCACTCAATAGCTTGACTGGTGCTCATGTACTGATGAGAGAAGGCGACCTGGTTAGGCCAGCCAGACTTAACCATGAAAGGTTTCCGCGTTTTCTAAAGAAATATAATTTCTCCTAGGCGACAGAGACCCTCCTCATTGGACCATCCCTTATCTCTAGCGGCACACAAAACTGGGTCATACATTTTGTAGTTCATTGCCATAAATCATGTGTCAATTCCTTTGTGACCCTATAATATATTATATAAATCGTTTCTTTCATCAGTGGTGAAAAGATGTTTTAATCTGCGTGCAACATCTTGATCGTTAATTTATTTGTTTGAATTTTATGAATAGTAATATACAATGATGTGTGAGCATACCTATCATTACAATATATAAATTAAAAACCTTTTAAAAAGAAATTGTCTGAGTGATCATTGATGTATTAATACAGATATGCCTTAGTACAGCGATTCTCAACCTTTTAACTTCCAAGTACCACCCACACATCTAGAAAATTTTCACGTACCATTTAATTTAGAAAACTCTATTTTTTTCATTTTGCTTAAAAAAATGTACCTATAGAATATTAAAATGTACTAAATAAAAGTAAAATTAAGCATGTACAATTTGTTAAAACATAAATCGATCAAGCATTACATTATAGAGATTATCGTTTATCTAAATTTCTATCTTTAACGTGAGTAAAACCGACTATTTGGTTTAGTAATAAAATAAACGAAAAAATATTTTATGTATATTATGATAATATTTTATTTTATCATAAATATTTATTTTTCATTCAAATACCACCTTTGAGATTTCTGCGTACCACTAGTGAGTAGTGATACGCGTACCATAGATTGAGAAACGCTGCCTTAGTACTTAACTTACATAAATGGAAGTACCAGTTCAGTTTGCATAAATATTAAATTGTGTGCCCATTTTTTTTTTATTTAAAAATAAAATGAATCTATATATGTGATTCTAAATTCCTAGCGAGTGACGAAAATTAATAATGAATAGTAAGTTGATTATGTTAAGTTATGACCGGTGGCTCACTAATTACTACTTATGATAGTCAGTTGACAGTTTTATTAATTATTTTACTAATCAATCATCACTAACATATTAGCATGGTCAAATGTCTAATCAGTAGTCAGTATTAATTCGGTAATCACATCACTCGATCATTTTTGGCTCAGCAGAGTTTGCTCTGTGCCCTCTGTGGTCTTTGTGAAAATAGTTATAATTTATAAATGTTATAATACATTCTGCTATAAGAAGTCGACGGAAAGTAATTGGTCACACTGATGCGTTTGTGCTTTGACAATTGGTTGGACGAGTGGGTAGATTGTTTGATGGGAAAGAAGAGTGGAATCCCACCCAAAAACGGCAAAAACTAAACTCGACGTGCCCCCTTCCATATTCTATATCCCTTTCATTTTCGTTTTATGTTTGTAAACAATAATATTAATCACTGTTTTCGTTTATGCACTTTAATATTTTCCATTCACGTTTGTGTCCTGTGAGGTGTTTGGTTTTAACGAGTTCAGCGATGTCGTTTGCGTTCGAGTCTATTTCGTTTGTGACGTTCGGCTACCTACGTCGTCACCACAGAAATGCGTTTGCCGCCATTTTCGTGTGAGCTGATGATCACCGGACAACGGTCAACGGGCGCCAACTCCAGTCGATCTGACAAAACCATAAACGTAACATATTTACTTTTGATTTTTATATCTTTTCAATACCCACATGCTCATTAACGAGGTATTACTAGATAAAAGTACCAATTTATAGTAACATTTATGTTGTTTATACGACTATAATATGATCAGACCTTTTCTGTGAGCCCATACGATAACGTTTTTTTGTATCTCCAAATCTAACACAAGTTTTGAGTTACACAATGACTTTTATGCTCGTTAATAAAGTTAAGACGTCATTTATATTTTTACTGATATCTTTAGGTACTCAAATCTTTTGGTATTAAGCCATCTAGATATACCTATAATGTATATTTTGATCAACTAGATCAACTGTTTAGCATTTTATTAAACATATTTAATTTATTCTTCGTACCATGTATTTGAATTCAGTAAAGTTGACTTAACACCATCTCATTGATAGAATTATTATTTCTTAGAAGATGTATCTAAACCTTATCCTAGTACTTGTAATGTTTATATTTTTAAGAATTAATTTGAATAAAATCAAAGAATCCATTGTATCAAGTTGCGTATTAAGTGTTTTATAATAGGTCAGGTTAAGGATAAAAGTGCTATATAGATAGTATCAATTTAATATTGAGTACAAATTAACTAAGTAATCTAACACTTTAGACACCTACCTTTTATAAAAATAAAATTCACTTGTCACTATACATTTCTATAGAATGATTATCACTGACAGAATCAATATAAATATCATTAAGCATAATATATTTATTTTGTATTTGTTAACTATATCTTGATGCTTTTTTTAATATTTATAGAATTATTTAAAATACATTTTTATTGATTTATTTTATATTTTATTCTTAAAAATATTTTGTCTTAGTATTATCAATTATTGCATTATTATAACTATCTATGAGTATATTATACTATTTACGTATTAAATTTTTTATTTACTCATTAATAAGTATTATTATTGAATTTTGTATTGTTTATAATTCTATGAAGAGTATAAATGTGTTATACATTAGCTTAATAATTGATACAAGTTGTGACCTTCTTGTATCTTAATTTTGAAAAATCTATATATTAAAATAATAATACAAAACATTGCTTAATTGTTATTAGGTTATTATTTATTACTGTTACATGATTTCTTATAATATATAGGGTACATTTTTTTGGTTTTTATACAATATAATTACTGAACATAATTTATGTAGGTTTATAATAGTTAAATATTTCAACTTTAATTTTTTTTTTTTTAATATTTGAGAATTTTTCAAAGGTTACAGAATATTTTATAAATTGTGAAAATTGTATACTACCTATGTTTAGTTATATATTTTAATTTTGAGACCTATTTTACAATATTTTTTACTATATAATCATATATCAACAAATTTAATAATATAATAATTTTTATGATATATTAAATTTGTGTTCTTTTTTATTATCATTATTGGATTTTCTTTTTATATATTTTGCAAATAACGAGTTTGTCAAAAAAATTAAAAATTTGTAAATAAAGCATATTTTATTAATTGATTATTTTTGTATTTATTTTTTCATTCTAAAAATAATTTGTAAATGCATTTTTAGAGATTATTAGCGTCATATTTTAACTTTATTTAAAACTAAAAATCTGAACCTTGGTTGTAAAATATTAGATTATTCCCTATTGTTTTTAAAATGTCTATTTTACTTTTTAATATATATTTAAAACTTATTTATTTATTCTTTATTTTAAAGTTTAATACTTTCTATGTATTAATTTTATTTATTTTTTCAGATTGGGTTTAATTGGATATATATGATTTAGGAACAATCATTGTGTAATTAGAACAATAATTACAAATTTGACGAGTGTTGCTTAACTTGCATCATTTTAAAATGAATAAAAAGTATACACATTTTTTTCTTTGTCAATAACTGGTGTACTAATTGACATGGGTGATAGATTATTTATGGCAATGAGCCGCCGCCGTATATCATGCCCATTGGCTGTTCAACAGCTGTGGGATGCGGTGAAAGTGATACGTTTTCAAAGGCAGGTACCAGATATTGATCGCATCACAAAATATATGACCAAGGTCCACAATATGTCACCAGGTATGACATAGTCTTATTTAAAAATTTATTTTTCAAAACTAATTATTTTATATTTAACAGAGGAAGTAGGAAGACAATTAAATTATTGTGTACGTGATGGTCTTTTGATTTTAACTAAAAGAGTTGGTAATAAAGGTTCAAAAGCAGGAGTTGAAACTGAAGGATATAAACTTCCAGAAGAAAAAGTTTGCGACTTACTCTATTTGAATATATTGACATATTTTAATAATATGTTATGTTTTTCTTTAGGCTGATAAAGATAGTCATGATTGGTATTGTTTTCAATGTCATAGTGCTGGAGATGTTATAAGTTGTACATCTTGTTATCGAGTTTTCCATCTTTCATGTATTGAAAAAAAAGACTTGCCAGAAAATGATGTTAAGCATAAGTTTATCTGTAATATATGTAAAGTAAGTATTATTAAATAGTGTAGTAAATGATAATTATTGTTTAAAATTATATTAAATAACCTTATTCTTTTAGAATTGTGCTTCTACTAAAGAAGTTTGTAAAAAGATAAAAAAAAGTCAGCTTAATAGGCTTCTATATCATACTACTGGCAGATTAAAAGAAAAAGTAATTGTCCTCATGTATATTTTAAACTGATTATTTGGTATTTTATATTTCTAATAAATATATTTTTATTAATTAGATACCTTTACCATGGTCAGAACGTAAAATTGCCACTACAGCTCCATCTACATATGTTTCAGACAGACTTCAGTTTCAGAGTCAACTAAAAGGTAGTGATTTACATTTTAACATGAAATCTGCATTAAAGGACAAAGATCCTTGGAGGATAGATCTTCTTATTTTCAAGTAAATTTATATTGTACTCTCTTTGACTAAAATTTATGTTTTTAATATTTTTTAATAAACATTTTAGAATTATAGATCTCCAAATGATTGAAGATAAAGCTGATGATGATGAGTATAGAAATATTGAAGAGTTCCGAGCAGATATATTAACCTTTGTTCACAATATTATAATTTTTCATGGCGGTAAATTATAGCAATTTAAATTCTAATCTTTCTTTCATAAAACTTTAAATACCAAACACTTATAGACATGAAATAGTTTTCATACAAAAACTAAATTGAGATAGTATAATCATTTATATTAGTTTTTTCTTATGATATATTTTTTATTTGTATTTTAGTTCATAGCAGTTTAGCTGATTATGGCCGCTTAATGTTAAGGGATTGCAATCGAGATTTGGAGGAAATAATGAGATGCCGTTATTGTTACAAATATTCTATACAAAAAAATTCAAAATTTTGGTTTTGTAAACCCTGTAAACCTCCTCATGAACTAGTGTATGCAAAACAAGAAGATTTTCCATATTGGCCAGCAAAAGTATTTATAGTAAAATTAAGACTTATTTTTTAAAGTTATTTTATCTTAAAATAATATTTCAGGTTTTAAAAATTGAAGGTGATATGTATGAAGTAAGATTTTTTGGTAGTGAGCATCAGCTTGGAATTATTGACAAATCTCAAATACGACCAATATCGGTGAACATTCATACCTTGCAGGTTAATATCTAGAATTAATGATTTAATATATCTTAAAAATGTATTATCTACATTATTTACTAATCTGTAAAATTAAAAAATGTATTTATATTTAAGACTAATGTGGGTTACATATTTTTTTAACTATGTTAAATATGCACTTTTTTTTCTAGTCTCAGGGTCGTACTTCTCAATGGAACAAAGCATGTGAGGAATTGCGTCGCCATCAACTTCAACTGGACAAAGTTATATTTGGTCTTGCAGCACAATCATCATCTTCTTCATCTAGTTCGTCTTCAGAAGAAGAAGAAGAACCACCTAAAGTAGAAGCTTCACCCATTTTGAAACGTAATGAAAGGAGAAAAGTTAAAGAACAGAAAGCATCAATAAAAGCTGAGACAGATACCGAGGAATCAGAATCAAAAGAAGAAGTTAAACCTGTAAAAAGAAAACGAGGTAGGCCATTATCTCTAGAGAAAAAAATAAGTCCACCAAAAAAAGTTGTAAAGAAACCTTTACTAATTAAAAAAACCAGTCCTGAAAACATTGTAGAAAAAAGACCTAGAGGTAGACCTAGAAAAGTAAGTGAACCTATACACACAGATAACACTCCAGTTAAACATTTGAAAACTAAAGTTAAAAGTCCAAAAGAAAATATCAATGTGACTGAAGGAATTAAAACATCTAAAAGTGCATCACCATTAAAAACAAAATCTCCAGTTAAAGAAAATGAAGTAGATGAAAATATAACATCTACAACTGAAAGGTTAAAAGATCCAGATGTTGTTGAAGATGAAACAGTTAGTTCTTCATGTCAAGATTTAGTACGATCAGTTAAAGTACAAACAAAACCAATTAGTAAAAAACCACCTAAAAGCTACATAAATAAGGTTAGTTAAGTAATTAAATATATCTTTTATGTTATAGATACTTGTGTAGTATGCTATTTATTATAAAATATTACCTATCAAAAAACTGTATGCATGTAATATGCTACCTGTCGTAGGTATTATTATTTTATTTTATTACAGAATAGATGATAGTACTTTTAACTTGAGTCTTTAAATTAAATAATATATATTATTTTTACAGTATTATAACTATTAAACATTTTGACAATTTGTAAATATCTACAAAAACTCATGATTACCTACTTTTAAATATACTATTTTAATCTTTGTTGTGCCCTTTCGTCTTCCTGTATTTGTGTATGTGCATTTTTATTTATTATGCTATTCTTTTATCTTAAAAATATTAATGAATAAGTCAATGCTCAAAAATTAAGAAGCAATAAATTTGTTAGACCATTAACTAAAAGCATAATAGTGGTGATCCATTAATAAACAATACTACTTAGATGTTTTTTGGGATGATATTAAATAGTGTACAATGATATATACCAATATTATAAAATGCTTGACAATGATCATTATCAGTAATATATTTAGTAGGTTTTAATTTGATAAATTGTATTATAATTAATTGATTGATAGTAGTATAGCATACTACACTTGTAAAGTTTTTTAGTAGGTTGTATACTACACAAGTAAACTATTATATTCTAGAATGAAATTGTATGTTTTAGATTCGAGCTGAAATGGAAAGTGAAAAACGTAAAGCTATTGAACAATTAATTGAACAACATAAAGAGGAGATTGCGGTATTGCAAGAAAATCACAATATTGCACTATCTGAAGTGAAGAAAAAACAATGGGTAATTTTTTTTATCTTACAGTTGATACATTTTTTAAATTAGTCAACATTTTTTATGATTATTAATAAGTTAATAAATTATTTTAAAGAAAGAATAAAAATAATTTTTTGCTATCTATTTTCTATTTTTTCATAAAAAAAATTTATGTAATCATTTATTTTATGTTATAAATGGCTGTGCTATTAAATTTTGACATTAAAACATGATTATTATTGAATTTTACATTATTATTACATTTTTATGTGAATATTATATAGTAAAATGCATTTGGTAACAGTCAAATTAGAGAATAAAAATATATTAGATTTAACACTATCACATACTAGCTGTTGGTTCTTAACATTCAAATATTTCTTTTGGATAAACCATGGCTTTTAGTATAAAATGAAATTTCTTTTTCTCAATATATTATTTAATCAAGTATGCAGTACCCTCTGTTTTAGAATTACTAATTTTTATTCATAAAAATTATATTTTTAGTGTGTGAATTGTGAAAGTGAAGCTATTTACCATTGTTGTTGGAATACAGCATATTGTAGTCCTAAATGCCAACTAATTCATTGGAGTAGTGAACATAAAAGGCATTGTCGTCGAAAAAGATGATCTTAAGCTATTTATGGGAGTATTTTAACTAAAAAAATATTATTTTAGTTGAAACTCTGCCATGTACATATACATACGATATATTTATATTTAAAAATGTATTATTAGTTTATACTAATTAACTCAATATTTCTCTAAATTTGAGTAATTTATTTTATATTTAGTAATATAGTGTCTAATGTTAAACATTAACTAGAACAATATTACTTAAAAGTAACGTGATTTTTCAGAAACACATAAGTATTATTAAATTTACAATTTTTTATTAATTTATGTACTTTTGCTGATTGACTTTGTACCATTATTATGTATGTATTTGATTCATTCATTCATTACAGGGTGTACAGTAAAGAGTTGTCTAAATATTAATCAAATATTTAAAATATAATAAAAACATTAAAACAGTTGCCTCTTAAAATATTAGATGTATATTTGATTAATTTTTTTTGAAACTACATTTTTATGTTTTAATTTTACCTATTTTTTTTTCAAGCTAATCAGTAATTAATTATTTTTATATGAATTATTTTACAGTAGTTGCTTATTGGACTTGTAGTTAATTCACTCATTTTTTTTTTAGACTCAAACAAGCTGGCCAGTATGCTTGTATGTATACTAACTATATTCCTTCACTCATAGAGCACAACTCCCCACACAACCAATTATGATCTGTAGGACAAATTTTGGTCACCTTTGACAATTGCTCTCTTAGTGTGCGGGGTATACGAGTCTAATGTGTTTATGTGTATATAGGACAAATTAAAATGTTTTAATAGGTCAATTAATTCAATTACTTAATTACATAAATAACTAATAAATAGTTGCATTTTTAAATGAATTTATTGATTTGTCTATGATTTTTAAATACATGTATAATTATATACAATTTAGTGAATATAATACATTGCTAATAAATAAATAATAATACAAATGTATAAGTAAATTTTTCTATTTTACTTATATTTTTTTATTATTTCATATATACATTTATTAAATACATACATTATTATTCTTGACCCTTCACCTTATTGGCTCATTTGGTTAATGAACTCGGAATGTTCTGGTCCCAAATCAAGTCCAATAAGTGGCATTTACTGTATTTATTAAAATATATTTATAATTTTATAATATTTTTAATACTATGTAGAAAAAGTTAATTTGTTACAATTTTTATCTTCATTATATTAATTTAAATTTTCAAATATTAGTGTTAAGGAATGTATTGGATTATTAGTTTTTTTATATTGTTTTGTTGTCTTTTGTACATTTTTTTTAAGTTTATGAGTAATCAATATTCTAATTTGTTAAACAGACTTTTTTTACACATATTATTTTGTTTTATTATTATAATTTATAATTAGAAATTAGGTTTATATTATTCTAAAACGGTGCTTTAAAATTAGTTATTTAACATTGTTTATACAACTAAAGGGGTAATTCCATTTAAGCAAGTATAAATCAATATACACAACAATTATTTAGATTGTTTAAAGAGCTTTGAAAACTAAGTTTATAATTATAAGTTAATTGTATAATGTAAACAAATTAATATTAATTTAATCATAATTCACTAAGCTTGCTACTAAATAATAAAATAATAACAATTTTAAACTACTAAACAATTGTGAATAATTAGAAACATATAATTCTAATTAAGTTTTATTTTTACTTATTTAATTATTACTTCCAGTTTTCTCCATATTTTCACAATATTTTAGTTTGTACTAGTATATTACTATAATATTATATACTTGTATAAGTTGTATTTTAAGTATGTTTAAAATTTATCTAAGCAATATTTTAAAATTTTAGACTGTATATATTTCAACCCATTGCCACTAAATAAATGGGAGGAAATAATTAGATATTTTTATCATATAATTAGATAGGTTTATCATTAATCTTGAACTTGATAATATTCATAAAATAGTATAATATAATATATATTTTTTTACAATTCAATATTTATACCATGGTAGATATGTTTGATCTCAATACATTATTTATTTATTATTGTTTATATGTATTTATAATTAATCCATCCTTTAGTGTGTAGCATTTTTATTTGTATAAATATATAATGGCATAAATCATTTAATCATCAATCATATTTAAGTACCTACACTAGTAATATATTGGTGGAACAGTGTTGAATTAATGTTATTGTTATTTTAATCATAAATTATTGTTGGTGATTGTATTTATTGTACTGTAGATCCCAATTAAATAATATTTATCAGATTCATTAGATCTTATAATATTATTAGTATTTTGGAATCAATTGATTGGCGAGTGTCATAAATTTAAGATCAATATAATCAAATAAATAAAATGCAAATATTTGAGAATTATTATATTTAACATTAAGCTTGCATAATATATGAAGGTTTAAGCTTATATACATTCACATATTTTGTGTGTAAAAAATTGTATTGTTTATTATATTTCTAAAGTTGAATTAATTAATATTTTTTTGCATTTTTTATTAATTTATTTAGAATTATGAATACAATGGTGGGTTATGACTATAACATTTGGATTGGTCACTGACAGCTATTTCTTTAATCATGTACAAAAAGTATCAGATGTTTTTAGTTAATAATTTAGACTATAAAATCTTTGACACTCTTCTGAGAGAAAAAAAATGAAAATTCATTTTTACTTTTTTGAAGGAGTAAATCATTTATCAATTTAGCTTCTCGATTACCTTATTAAAAATCCTACAACTACAATAATGAAAAAAGATGAATAGTTGATAAATACATTGTTTTTCAGTTTACAATACTCTGTCTATACTATTTAGCTAGTCACACTTCCACAAATTCATCAACAATAGCAGAATTGTAAAATTATTTTTTTTTACTTGTTGAGCTTAAGGTTATGAGAGAAGAATATTTAAAGTGTATAATATTATAGTGCTGTAACCAGTTAGAGGTATTAATATCATAAAAGTAGAGGCATTTTATTTATGTTTTTTAGTTTCTTATAATAATCCTTAGATTAAAAGTTATTCATGGATTTATTGATAGAGAATTAGAGACAATGTTTATTTGTCCGACCGATATGTCTGATATTTTAGATTATGTAATAAAAAATTACATTTCGGAAGACGCATGATTTCCGCGTTGTGTGCGAATTCTGTTCTCAAAAATATAGATCGAAAGTAAAATTGCGGTTGGTAATCGATTATCTATATCCGATAAGAGCTTATCTAAATTATGGTTATTGGTCAGTCAGGACTAGGTAGTGAGTACTGACCAACGTTATATTTTTTAGTTTATGGCTTATGCCGTTTATGGTAAGACGTTGCCTAATGCCTAGGTATTAACTTTAATTTTAGAATTGTTGCTTTCGAAAATTTATAGTAAATAAGGAAAAATTTTTATTTTATTAATTAATTTTAAATTAAAATAATATCGTCTAAAAACAGGAGAAATGTCCTGCAGTTGTACTAATAAAAATTATAATGCAATATACTATACGTTATGCAGGCGAAGAAAGTACCTATGTTTTCAAGAACGACAAAAATTATCATACAACCAGAATACCAAATATAGTATTCAAATATTAAATAGACAAAAATAATAACTGTAAAAAGGAAGAATGATAAATAATCATTTTCGGAAATGTCAAGGAAAATAATTCATCATGAGATGGAGAAAGATGTTAATATTTTAATTCATTAACTGAGACTTGGTTCGCATTGGTAAATAAATAAAGATATTTTTTATTTTTTGAGTTTGAAATTTATCATAAATAATATAATATAATATTTATTAATTGTTATTTTTAAAATGTGTAATATCAGGTAAAATGCAAATAAAATAAATTTAAAATATATTAAATATTTAGATATCTATTTTAATATCAAACTATTCATTTTTAGGGAATGATATTAATCGTGCTTAATTACAACCAATATTAAAGTTGCTAAAATCCAAAATACACGGATGATAGCATGGCATGAACCTATATATGCATGACGTATCACATACATGACTATTTGAATCTGGACGAAATGATATCTACGAAAAAGGAAAATTTAGTAATATTAAATGATATAATAATAATATTTTCTTGCAGGAGTAATTTGAAATTCATGTGTAGTATTAAGACTATTTTGGTTGATGGCACTTCTAACTATTGTATGAAATTTTTACAGCATGTGTTAACAGTAATTGGCTTTAAAAATAACAAATATGTTCCTGTTGCACTTAGTTTATTAAAGGGTAAAAAGAAATTATTGTACAGAACTGTTACGTCTATGCTGAAAATAAATGGAAATTAATTTAATTTTTAAGCTACAACATTAAGTTTTCAATTTAAAAAAAGGAATTTTTCAAGTTGCAAGTAAAGGATTCCCAAACTTCATTATAATTGGATGTAGATTTAATTTTAGTCAAGGCTGCTGGAGAAAAAATGTAGGATAACAAGATTGACTATAGAGTACAAAAATAAGAAATATGAACTATATTGGTTATTATGTTATTTTTTCAACCACACCATGGACAGTTTTGGACAATAATTCTGTTTGATGGAAAAATAATGAAAGTGAAACTTTTAATTCTAAATTTAAATCTGAAAACCAAACATTACATTATAAAACATTCAAATTTTTAAAATGTGTCAAAAATATTCAGATTGATACATATTCATAAATTAAATTCAGTATATTTGGAAACTAATAATAACATTAAGAGCATTAGTTAGAAATTAATTTAAAGTAAATTCAAATAATATTTGAAAAAATAAATTGATTTACTGACATTTGTGAGATGTGTCATATAAACATGAACCAGTATAGTGATAAACATATTATTTTTATTTGTTAAATATGTGATTATTAATATTTAAAACATGATAATTGTATTTCTTGGCTGTAACTTACATTTTGTTTTTTATCTGTTTATATTCCAACTGCATCTTGGTATCAACCAATTTCTGACTTTACCCAAAAATGACTCTACTTTTAATGGAGGTGTTGAATTATTTAACAGTAATTCTTACTCTAAAATTACTAAGATATAGTTTTATTATTTGTATCATCTTTGTATTATCAAGTTTTTAATGTTTTAAAAGATATTCAAATATGAATTAATTCGATTAACAAATAAAAAAAGTAGTCGATTTATCACGTAATAATCCAAAATAAAAATAAAAATATTTCATTAAAATTGTATGAATAATGTTAAACCATAAAATTAATAATGATTGATTATATTAAATAAATGGGTATGAAATAAAAAACTAAATAGTTTTAAATTTTAAATAATTTATTGTACCTATATATTTTTCAGATATGCATAAAAAAATTTTAAATAATACTATATACACTCACACACACACACACACACATATATATATATACCATACCTTTTTTATATGCACAAGAAATCCTGAAATTTTGGGTGGTTAAATCCCTCCAGTATAATATGTGTATGATATTGCTAAGTATAATTAAACAATAGTTTAACAATTAAGGACATATTATTGTATATAGATACTTATTAATTATTATAATATGTATTTAACAATATTTCTTTTTTTAAATATTTTTTACTAAGCTATCGATAATACTTAAATAATAATCTCAATAAATAAAATTAATAGATATGAAAATAGCAATTAGACTTCTCAATAGAGGTGTTGCAAAAATTGGCTGAGAGTTTCAGAAAGTCTCTTGAAAAGCCTCAAACAAGTTTAAAGGGCTATGTTTATAGTCTAAAGATAAAACTTAGATAAGTTTTTGAATTTAGGAAGGATAAAGTAATGAACCAATATCAGGTGTTCTTATAAATTTTACCTTAAATAAATATATCATGAGCTCGCCTAAACATTGTGTAATTTTGGGTCGTTTAACTAGTTAGTAGTTTGCTCTGTAATTGAAAGCCCTCTCTCTCCCTAGAAATGGAGACTGATTTACCGTTTCAATTTGAAATCGTTTATAGGTAGTAAGTACCTCTACTTATTTATATATTCCAGTTCGTATAGACTATACAGTACAGCTTATACGGTATAGCCTTCTGCTTTCAAATCTCAGTAAAGTTATTGCTGATCGTAGAATTAAAAATTTAATAGTTTTTAAATTTGAATACTTAGGTACTTTTTTAACATATGGACACAGTCGATGAGAAGAAGCTTGACGATATTTTTCCCATCCTTTTCTCCAATGTTTACATTACCGTTTATCTGTATATATCATAAAAATAAGCCCTTGTTCATACTATACGTTTACACTGCGTGCGTGTTACTGTCAGGAATTGTAGGACTAATAGTTGGATATATTATTCAACTTGTAAGTAACGTGTTTATAGACTACTATAATTTTGTTACAAACGTTACAATGTCACCTATGCTTGGTTACGGACTGCAGGATACTACACGATTTAGTAAGACCAGATTTAGGACTAAAAATGGTTAATTTATATCCCGTTGGTTGATTATAATGAAATAACAAATCGTCAAAAACTGTGTTAATTAGATGTACGAATTTGGAACTGTTAAGACGTATACAGTCTATAATAAATAAACCTACACGAAAGTCAATAACGATTTTAAGTTTATGTTAATGTCTATACACTAACATACTCCATTACAGCCATTACGATAGTTGACTGAGCAGTCACGATTTGTACACGATGTAGTATTTTTTATAACTAAGATTTTTTTTATCTTAAAACTAAGCAATATTTTTTTTTCTTGAAAAAACTAATAAATATTAGTTTATCGTATTTTAGGCCTAGGGGACAATAAAAAAAAGTGGAGCGCGGAGCAGGTGCCTTTAGAGATCTTCGTCAGTTCCTGCACTGTGATTTAGTCCTGGTCTCTAGCGGTATAGCTATTAGCTGGTATCTACAGCGGTGTGAATTATAACTGAATCCTGAGCGGTGTATCTACTATCTAGGTATTTCTTTCTTTTTTTTTTTTTAAGATAAGAAATATTTTTAATTTAGACTGCCTGGTATTTTTAAAACTCTGTATATCGCAGTTGTGGTCGATTATGGTAAAATTCATGTATACCGATTTTGTGGTATCTGGTTTGGACGCCAAAAGTTATTTTTTAGTGTTATTCCATTGCGTTCGTTTGCGAGTATGTTAAATGTGGTAGTCATAATTACGGCTGCAGAAAGAGTGTAGACCCATCTAATCTAATCTATCTATAACCGTGGTCGTGATAGAAATAACTAGGCATGATCGCGCTCCGAATTCCAATACACATGACGCGCGACGTAAACAAAAAATTTTCCGATTTCATTGTTGCATAGCTGACGGCACTTTACACAGAGGTCTGTGTTGTTTCTATAGTGCGCGTATCGTACAAATTACAAAATAATAAATATGTACAATAAAGCTGTATTTGAAATCATCACATCTCACTACAACAATGGCATATCTAGGATTGTTTTAAAGAGGTATGTAGTTCATATGAATCATGTGATGTATTATATTAATAAATATAATTCAAATATGGTTAAGGTTATGGTATATATAAAAAAAAAAAAAAAATGATCTAATAAAAACAATTAGTCAATCAAGAGATTTATTCATGTGTATTTTATTAAGAAATTGGTTATTTAGTAATTAGTACCTAATCATAACAGAAATATAGCTATGATAATATTGTAATTTGTAATCTTTTTATAAGATAAAATAGTATCTAAGTAGTAAATACGGTTGTTTTATAATATAAAATATTATTTTAAGCGTTAACTTATAATTTTTGTGAATAAGATTAATATTTTACTTTTACAAAATAATTTTATACATATTATAACAGTTGGTAAAGTGGACTGTATCATACGTATGCTATCAAACATTTCCTTTTATATATGACGCTAACTCCAAGTACCTTGTGATTATTTTATAATGGTACCTACATTGATAGTTAAACGTGTACCGTGTTTACTTCAAGTTGTGTTCTAATTATTCTGAGTTATTTTTATAAAACCTCTGACTTAACCAATATTTTATTTTTTTTTTGGATTTGGTCGGTCTGATAAACGTGTCCACGGTCACTTATAAATAAAAATATTAGCTCATAAATAATAATTAAAAATAAGTACCTATTACTTATGTATTGATATTGTATAGGTCAATTAATAGGTGACTCACCATTCACCAATTATGATCGTCTTTATTATTTTTTTTTAATAATGCATTTATTATAATTCTAAGTTTGAGTATTTTTAATACTAAAGATCACATTTTAAAATTCTTGATATTTTTTGCACTATTCAAGAAGTAATACAAATTTACAATTTTTAAATGAAAATCTTCTTTTTTACTATACATTTTTTCATAAGTGTTATTTTTATGAAAATTTTGATCAACTTATTTCAGAATTTGAACGATCAGTTTTTCAGTTATTAAAATGTTTATACTAAGGACAATAGTCTTTAAAAATGGTTTTAAAAAAATGTATGAAATGAATATAACATTGGGTTTAGTATTTATTATACTTGGACTATTTTTACAGATAATTGTATTTAATTATTGATTATTGATAGATTACTGATGCGTATCAATTACTAAAGTTTTCAAAAGGTCATACATAGCCTCCATATCTTCCAAACCCATTATCATAAATCTATTATCCTTAATACCTATACAAAGTTAAATAACTAAAAAACTACTGGTTTGATTTTTAATTTTGATATGTCAACATGTTTAAAAAATTATTCGCTACATAATTTATACCAGAAAAGGGATGTTGACATTTGAAAAACAGAAGTTTGTATCTCCTTGGGTCGCTTCTTAAGTAGTATACAAAATCTCAAGAATTTGAAAATATAATCTTTAACTTTTAAGTATACTTATAAATAACCTAAAATAAGATTTTGAATAACTGCATTATTGAAGAAAAAAAGGGGGGAGGTATGAAGAATTATTTTGTATATTATATGAATATTAAATAGCCATTACCTCAATAGATATTAGATATTCTTATCATAACTCATATTAGTCATGCCATGTACATTGTATGGTCACCACAAGCGAGTTATTAATTATTATTTTACTTTAATTTTTATCCTCGTATATAAGTACTTAAATATAATATAAATATATAATACGTTACAGCTAAAGTGTTAATTAGCGATGTTATAAGATATAACAAGTACATATTTTATAAATTAATAAAATAATAGGTAGGTAATAGGTGGTAAAATGTAAAATATATATACATTAACTATCTATGTAGTTGTTTTATACATTATAGTATGGTTCAAAACGTTTGAGAAGTAATATTTAATTTGATTATTTTTCAAAACAATATTTTTTTTCTATTGAAAATGTTTAGTAAAAAAATAAATGTTGATGTAAATTATTGAAGTTAAATTTCGGAATAATTTGTTGTCCCGAAACACTTTATTGGGATACTGGAAAGTATGAGTACCTTTTATTAGTAGTGTAATTGATAACCATCATTCATCATCGTTACTTATTACCGTATGTTGATGGTAACACCTGGTAACATAGTATATTAAAAAGATAACCACAGCCAATTAAATCACAGGGATATATTAACACAACGTGTTAAATTATGGTATACACGATAGAATATATAGACG